CAGGCGTAAGTAAGTAAGTAAGTAAGTATGACAGGGAAATAAATCGTCAAAATGAGTACAGTAGAATATGACAGAAATTGGTCTGTGATGCTGACGAAATAGTGAAATACGTTAGATATATGTTCTGTTGAGCCGCAACAGAATAAATAGCATCGACTAGCGATGAGTGAATTCGAATTTAAATGTGTAACTCCCGTCCGTAGGATGATAATAGTTAAGTCGTGAAATAATGACTGCATCGACGGGTGATATTCGTTGCTGTACTGCAATTGATAATAATCATAAAATTTGAAGTCAGTGAACGTTGTCGTCTGGGTCATGTCAGATGCATTGAGTTATCGTTAAATATGTATTAGTAGAAGGATGACCAGAGGAACAGAATAGTGACTGAGTAGACGAGGTACGTAGAGTCGTATTCCTTTTTGGTCATGAAGCCTAGAATGGTTTGTGTGGTTTGAGGGAGATGCGCTCGATCTCGTTTGTTACAAAACCGTACCAAGGCATGACAAAAATACCAATACATATGGTTAGCGATGGCGACGTATGAGACTGACTTGGATGTAACGAACAAGAGTGTATCTTTGAGAGACTAGCTCTAAACTCTATGTTCTGATATGCAGTGCGATGGAAATAGAATAGTAGTTGCAGTACTCGAATAGCGTTTTTGAGTGATAAGTGATGCAGCATGTAGTTATGCACGTGAAAGAATAAATAAAATGAACGTAATGGTTACTAGTCAGCTAGTTAGAGGCATCCACAGACATAATAGGAGGCGACTTCGAAATGAAAAATGTATGTTGTGATAACATAAATTGCTGACCTCGACTAAGTGAATGAATGCAATATTAGATCAAAATGACATGAAAAATTGGAACGAACTCACTTAAAGCAGGAAAATTTCACGTTTTTGAATAGTAAAAATATCCTAATGAGTTCTCACAAAGTGGAGTGGAATTTTCATAAAATGATAATTTGTTCGGTGAGTAATATGATTGCGAAAATGTCATAATTTAATGACAGCACGAACAAGATTAATAATTCCACATTCGGTCATGATATTGGCAATAATGTAATAATAAGCATATAATGATAATTTGAATCGTAATGGAGCAAACCGACGAATGGATCAAACCGACGAATGGATCAATGAGAATGGTTGACGTGAGTACAAAGTATCGATAAGATAATACGACTTGAGCATGTCCATACCATGATGCACAGGCTTTGCTGATTGCGTCGGATTGGATATTGCGCTGGCTTTGCTTAATTTGTTCGTCGAACGTATAGAGTGCAGAAGTTCCTTCATCGACGTAGCTTGCTGCGTTGCATTCGTCGTCGGCGGGATTACCACTTTTGGTGGAGGCCCTTAGTTAGATTTTGTCCTCATTTACATCGATGATATTCGTTGAAGAGCTCACCACTTTAGTGGCCCGTATTCATGTTTGTTATCGCCTTTTCTCGTATATCATCGTCGACTTAAATCGCGTTATCCAATAACGGAATTAAATAAGTCGAATAACGAGATTTGACTTGAGAATACATATATTTCGTACATGAAGCGAATGAAGCATAGCAAAGCAAAAATGACACGTATGGAAGATGGCTGGGAAGCCAACTCCACTTCAAGCCGGGCATTACTCAATATTTATAGGCAGACAAAATAAACTATAGACATGTGATGAGTCATGGGACATGAAGTATACGCTCATATGAAAACAGTCAAAGCTAATAAGCGAATAATTAACAAGGTCAAAATATTACTCAAGTAGAATGAATAGAATGGAATGTCCGGAAACTAGAATAAGATATATAATGGGCTAAAACTAATGACTAACACTACATAGTGACCAACACTAGTGGATAACACATGGACGATGAGGCATGGGAGTCACGAGGTGTTCTCCAATGCATGCAGTATATTCTCATATTTTCCTATGCGTTTGTTTTATACGCTATGACGATTTGTTTTTTTCATTGTATGTCATTTTTTCATCTTTTATTTTTATTTCATATTTCCATTCCATTTTTAATATCTACTCTCCGTTGTTTATCTTTATTTCAGTTTTATCAACTTTTCTTTTCATGGTGTTTGATTTTTTTCAGTTTTTTTATTTTCGCCATATTTTTTTGCACTTTTACAATCAACGTTAATGAATTTGATGATACGGTTAATCTGTGGAGCTTTGCTCTCCTTTTCTGATGATTGATTTCTTCATGGAGTGTTATTCTGCGTCAACTCTGTCAATTTGTGTCATATATCAGTTTTCTCCTTCTGTATTAGATTGTCGTCTACCGTTGTTTTATATAATTGAGTACTCGTTTGCTTAGTTCACTCGCGTATCCCGTCAAGCATGTTTGCGTCATAGTTCATATCAACGTTGGTATCTCCAACGATTATGATCTATCGTACATTTAGTGGAAGTTGACGAAGCTACAGTTGATAAATTACGTTGATGTCTACTTTCTTGCTACCTATCGGATTTTTCATGTGGGTTTTTGTCTGCGAAGCTGTCCTATCCCCCATTTACACCTGATTAGGTGGCTGGTCAACAACTTCTTGGGTTGATTAAAGAGACGGATCTAATTACGGCTTACTTTATTACGTCATATGGCCTTTCGGGGTCCGGTCTAGATAAAACCTCTCGTACGCTATCTTCATCTTCGTCTGGAAGAAGCGTGCTTGTGTGGCCGAACTTGTATCGTTGCAAATTAATGCATTTATACAAAAATAATTTTCAAGTCTGAAAAACCAAAGTTGTATGTCGGTAGCTTTAAAATACGGAATAGAAAGGTTAAGGGACTTCACAGACGGCGTTTGCCGTATACTTAGGGTTTTCCGAAGACATATTTATGAAAAGAATTGATGGTACTCGAATAAAATAAGGTAAATGTTAAAAAGAGAAATGAACCGACAACAACAATGATAATAACAGATGATACAGTTTTATATCATAGATCAGACTCACTAAACTGCACCAGTATATCAACTGTTTATGAAACGTCGATATTTATAATAATAATAATTATTATTATTATTATTATTATTATTATTATTATTATTAATGTTATAATTATTATTACGTTTACTATTGTTAAATTATGTTCAGTAATTTTTATGAGAATGTACGCGTAACGAAAATAATAATATTATTAATCCACAACTATAATTATGATCCAACTAATAATCCGAATGGAGACAAAGTAAGTTGAATTTTTCGAAATAAGATCGTGTCATCGAAAATTGAGTCGCGTTCGCACGTCGGGCCAACCGTTTTTGTAGTGACTTGGCTTCAAGATAATTCCTTACGCTTCATTTATCAATCACCCTGATAACCTTTATTAAATAAATCCCAACGGCGAATTAATTCAAACGGCAACAAGAAGCGCTAAGTAAAGTTTATTATTAGATTGCGCAGGTAACAGATTTACAAGCACACCAAACGAATTTAAGCAGAAAGGCTAATATGCGTGAGCAAGAGGATACTGAGTTGGACCAATTTATTAGATCCAAGCATATATATATATTCACAGAGAGATTTTTGAGCAACTAATTTTAGGCCAGATAGAGGGATATGCTCGTATTCTGTTACATGTAATCAAATATACATGTTTTGATACAGACATGATAGTAATTATAATAATACAAAAAAATAGACAAATTGTTACTGTTAGAATAACACTGTCTGGTAGACAATTCAATCAAAGGACACAACAAAATTAACTATCAACAAAGTTAATTGTAGAAGAGATGCCCCCAAATTCCCTGGTACGGCCGAGAGTGGGGAAAGTCAGCTCCTCCCACCCTCGGAATGCTCTCACATGACCACGTGCATACAACCGCTGTCAGCGAAGTCCTACTCACTGCCTTCTTGAGGTGGGGCTTTTGCTTACGAAGTTGAGAGGATGAAACGCGAATGTCCGGCGCTTTGACCGGGTTGGTGGATATGGAGGGTTCAGCTAGGGCAGTTGGGGAACCTGGATTCCAAATCAATAGTGAACATGGGATGGCTCCAGTATCCTAAAGGAACAAATGGTGTATGAACCAATTATTGGTCACCGGGCATCATGCGATTCCATCTCCTGACGTTGTTCCACTGCCTTGTGGATCAGACTTTTAGATCAAATGCTCCGAGTGTGGCCCCCTACGAAAACCACGTGTTTTGATTTGAGCACCTAGTCAGTATCACAATCCTCACACAAATCGAGTGGGGAAGTGTGAAGCATATATATTTGGTGCTTATATGTACCAATGTCTATGTGTTTAATTAAATAAATGTAGGCGAGATGCCATAAACTCATTCATCCTAACTAACAAAGAACTATTAATTATAAATTACTATGTATGCAAATAATAGATATTTGTCATTTCGTATAACTATATGAATACATGTTAGTACCCATTTTAATTTTTATTGAAAACAATGGAATAATGTCGGTCAAATAGTTCTTATTCACTAGAATTTAGGAAATAACAATTGTATCATCATATCAAATGGATGTAAACAAAACATTCCGCCATAAGTTCATCGAAACTGAAAACTGTTAATTCAGACTTTTGTCTTAAAATCTGTAATCAAAGAAATATATTTCACTGATTGAAATCATGAGTCAATTGAAGCTAGACCACCATGGAAAACCTGGAAGCATTCGACGGCCGTTTCGTCCTAGTATAGGACTCCCCAGCAGTGCGCATCCACGATCCCGCACCCCATGGGCTTCAAACCCATGACCTACTAGTTTTGCGCGCGAGCACTTAACCACTAGACCACTGAGCCGGCATCCAACGGTGTTAATGTCTAACTTCAACCAATCCACGAAGTTGCGCCACCGTACACCATTGTCTTCAGTGAGCTGATATCTCACAACAGACCTGTTTATTAATGGAACTCATAAAAAGCCAACTACAGTTCACTTTCACTGACGTATTTTAGTTTCATATGAAACCAACTTCTTGATCATTTTTATCTGGTACTTTTTTTGTTTAATACAACTCCACATAGATGTATAAACCAACGGATCTAATGAATCAGCCATCTGATGACTTGTACGTGGGACTGGTTAAACATAAAGTAGAAAAACAGTCTCATAATAGAAATGCAACGTATATAACATTTGAAGAAGTCTCAGGAACCTATCGAATGAATAGAAGAGCTGATTACAATTATACCATAAATGTAAGTATCTACTAAGTTCTTTGTATTTCTACATCTGTCCTAGATAAAATTGTTTGATTTGGACCTCATTTAGAATATTATGATTGTATCAAACAATAAAATCTGGAATACAAGCGAGCCTTGATAATTCCTGGATTATTCTAAGTGATCTAGTGCAAAACAATGAGTTCAGTGAGGAGATGAAATTTTAACTGTTACTGAAAAAAATTAATTGATTTTAAAAATACTGAAATTTCTTAAGAGGAAGCTGAAACTAAATTCGTTTACAAAGGTCTACTTGATAGATAGTAACAGTTTTAATGACATCCAGGTAAGCGCTGAGATCGTAGGCATATAGCAAGAGTTTATCCTTTTGAAAGGTCTCTGGAGAACATTATAGACCAAAACGGTAATAGAATATACCAGGATGTATCTTTTGCGGTTAGTAACTCTTATCATTAGAGATTCATTTCCACCACAAGATCCAGTACTTTAACAAAAGAATCACCATTCACAGTAGATAGTGTTGATACTTAAGAGTAACATGAGGTCGTTGAGAAAATTTGTAAAAACATGGAATGAGCGGTTTGTTATTTGAGTTTTTTCGAACACATTATTGAGAATTTTGAGATGGATTTCATCGCAGATTCATTGTCCAGAATAATGTGTACAATTTAAGAAGTTTTGTACTAAAGCACATATAAAAATCAGAGGTAAATTAGGTATAAAACGCTAATCAAACTAATAAAGACTGGACGTTTCCTAATTAATAAATTTTAAAGAGATAAACATAGTCCCACAGTTGCATATACAGAATTAAAAATGTCTAGGTGAGACAATAGTTTATGGACGACATTTTAGCAACGCTAAAAACACCATGAGAATGTCCACCTACATACTACGATTTTATGAGGGTTATAAACAAGTGTGAGGAATTAGGATTAATATTCACAGTTGATAGTTAGGGTTAGCAACTGCCTATAGGGTTTTCATCACGAACCACCATCAGCTACAATACTAAAACTATCTCTAGCCAAATATAAATCAATCAGAATTCAAGACCTGTTATCGTAAATTTGATTGGTTCGTCCATAAATTATAGTCTCGACGATGTGTGGGTAGTCGGAAAACACAAGTATGCTCATCAACGGTGGTTTGAACAACCTTCGAAACAGACATTTTTCTAAGTATTCTGCCTAACATCTGCGATACACTTGTAATACAATGTCCAAAATCGTATCCAATTCGACGTGGACAGGTAGACTGTTTATTTGTAATTTGTAAAATTATTTTTCAACTGAATCTTTGATCAGAATCACTGACAAATTTCATAAAGCACTTCCGTTGAAACATTCGTTTAATTCTTGATTTAAAAACACAAAATTTTGTGATATCTATGATAAACTTCAAGCGACATGATTTCAAAATTATTATTCCTCGGAGGAAGATTAACTTTATTCTGTAACATTATTGATATAATTTTGTCTAATAGTGAACAACTTATTCTGATATATCATAAGTGTTTATGGATAGTCACCAAGTAGAGCTGCTTGATTATAGATCATTTAATTTGGTATTTATAAGCAAAAATGTGTTGATATTCACATCAAGACTCAATATTCGCTATGTTATTTGAACCTTCTTATCCAGTCCTATAGTAAAAGAAATTACCTTTAACCTATTTAAGCAACGATTAGACCTTTCATAAATACTTGAACATTTTGTCGAGAAACATTCATTATTTTTACAATAATTACATTATCAGACGAGGTTTTGTGGAGATTTTAGAAATTTCACTGATGGAAATCATGATTCAATTGAAGCTAGACCACCATAGAAAACCTGGAAGCACTGGACGTCTCAGCAGTGCGCATCCATGATCCGAACCCCGCGAGATTCGAACCCAGGACCTATCAGTCTCGCGCCAGGCCCTTAACCAACTAAACCACTGAGCCGGATCCAACGGTGTTAATGTCTAACTTCAACCAATTCACGAAGTTGCTGAAGAGTCCCGTACTAGGACGAAACGGCCGTCCAGGTTTTCCATGGTGGTCTAGCTTCAATTGACTCATGATTTCAATCAGTGAAATAATTGTATTATTTAACAATGAGAGATTTCTTTAGTATATATTACAATCTACTATGTAGTTTTTCCATACTTTAAACAATATTTCAATATCATTGTTTCTTTCATTTTCTTTAGTCTCCATTCGACGAAGTCATAGTCCATATTGTAAGTTCTATTTATTGAATAGAATTTATTACAAATTGTTTTTTCTTAATTTAGGGACAGAAAGGAGACATTGGACCACAGGTAACACATTATTTTAATACTCATATTATAATTATAAAACATTTGATGAGAACAAACTAACAAAGAACACTCAAAACCACAATTATTTTTTTCAAAAGGGGTTTTGTGGAGATTTCAGCAATTTTATAGTTGAATTCATAAGTTATTCGAAACTAGACCACCCATGGAAAACCTGGAAGCACTGGACGGCCGTTTCATTCTATTATGGGACTCCTGAGCAGTGCACATCCACGATCCCGCCCAGCTAAATTCTAACCCAGGACCTATCAGTCTTGCGCGCGAGCGCTTAACCTGAGCTGGCTGGCATCTAACGTGTTAATTTCTAACTTCAACCAGTCCAAGACGTTGCACCAACGTTGCATTGATTTATGACAGGAATTGTCATAATAATCGTTGGTTATTTTTTTTATTAAAAAAATATTCCCTCATTGTAATTTCAGGGTCAAGCTGGTCCTGTGGGCTCTACGGGTTATTGTCCAGAAACAATATGTCCATCAACTGATATGAGTTCATTGAAAGTAAGTTGTTATTTATCAATTCTAAATGATAATACTTGAAATTTAGTAGAATAATTATGAACAATACAAATAAATAACACGTTATACAAGATTCACATTTATTTCAAAAAAAAAAAAAAGAAAAAAACAAATAATATAAATTGGCTAGTTAGTAATTAACATTATAGGGCTTGGACAGTTCAATCTGTTTGATAGATTACCGTAAAATTAAAATTTTCATCTTAATCATAATTTATTATTAGGTCGAAAGTTTTATTGATTTTCTATAAATTTCATTGATAACATCTGATTTCATTTCTTATAGAATAATGTAGAACAATGATAATGAATTGCATTATTCACTCATGAAGCAGACGTATCTCACATTCAGGAGAAAATGACCAGTGTAGCAGCAGCCTCAGCAACAATAAGTCTCAACATACTCAAAAAGAGAAGCAACATTCTCTGATATAACACAACATGCACCAGTCGAATCACACTTGACGGAAAAGCATTGGAAGATGTAAAAACTTCTGGTCACTATCATTGATGAACTCGACAGATATGATACAGATATGAAGGTGCGGATCGGCAAAGCAAGTGCAGTATATCTACAAGTGAAGAACATATGGAACTCAAAACAACTGTCAACCAACACCTAGGTCAGAATTTCCAATACGAATATCAAGACAATTCTACTGTGTGGAACGGAATCTTGGAGAACTACGAAAGCCATCACCCAGAAGATACAAGTGTTTATTAACAGTCGTCTACGCAAAATACTTAGGATCCGTTGGTCAGACACTATCAGCAACAACCTACCGTGGGAGAGAACAAATCAAGTCACAGTGGAAGAAGAAATCAGGAAGAAGTGCTGTAAGTGGATAGGACAAACATTGAGAGAAGCACACAACTATATCACTAGGCAAGCCCTCATCGGTTGGAACCCTCAAGGCCAAAGGAGAAGAGGAAGACCGAAGAACATATTACGCCGAGAAACGGAGACAGACATCAAATGAATGGACAACAATTGGATAGAACTAGAAAAGAAGACCCAGGACAGAGTGGGTTGGAGAATGCTGGTCGGCGACCTATGCTTTATTGGGAGTAAGTGAAGCAAACACTTAAGTATATAAAGGAAATAGGATAGATGTAGAAGGTCGAAAACAGAGATACGACATGTAAATAATTCACGACCGTTTCCAAGAACAATACACAGAACATTTTTAACAAAGACGATAGTGACCAGCGGTGGAATCAAGAATACGTGTTTCGTCCCATTTGGAACTCGTCAACTAGCTATACCTGCTTTTGACTTGAGGCAATACCGACGCAATGCGCACAGGATGCATATATATATATATATATATATATATATATATATATATATATATATATAATGAATTCATATTATTCTACATCACTGTTTGTTCTGGTTTTATTTAAATCCATAAAGGGAACCAAGTGCATAACATCTATTCATAATTCATATTTTTAATTACAACCAGTCATTCTTTTCTATAACAGTTCATTTTATCACAAATATTACACGGTACAAAGAGTCCCAATATAGGACGAAACAGCCGTCGAGTGCTTCCAGGTTTTCCATGGTGGGCTAGCTTCAATTGACTCACGATCTCATCTATCGAAAAAATCCCAAAAAGTATTTGAAAACAAAGAATATTTTAGTGAATAATTGTTTTCAATAACTTACTTACGTTTGTTGCTCCTCGTGAAGGAGCATAGGCCGCTAACCAGCTTTCTTCATCCAACCATGTCCTGGGCAATCCTTTTCTAGCTCTCTCCAGTTGCTATTCATCCTTTTCGTATCTGCTTTTACTTCCCGACGTAATGTGTTCTTTGGACTTTCTCTTTTCCTCCTTCCTTCAGGATTCCAAGTTACGGCTTGTCTCATGATTCAGTTTGACGATTTGCGTAGTGTATGTCCTTTCCATTTCCATCGTCTTTTCCTAATTTCCTCTTCAGCTGGAAGCTGGTTTGTTCTCTCCAAGAGAAGGCTGTTGTTGATGGTATCCGGCCAATGGATGTTGAGTATCTTGCGTAGACAGCCATTTATAAATATTTGTACCCTCTTGATGATGGTTGTTGTAGTTCTCCAAGTTTCAGCTCCATACAGTAGAACTGCCTTGACGTTCGTATTGAAGATTCTCACTTTGATATTGGTTGAAAGTTGTTTTGAGTTCCATATGTCCTTCAATTGTAGGAATGCGGCCGTTGCTTTGCCAATACTCAAATTTACGTCTACTTCTGAACCTCCTTGTTCGTCGATGATGCTTCCCAGGTATGTGAAGGACTCTACATCTTCCAGAGTTTCGCCATCAAGAGTGATTGAATTGCTGTTCTTCGTTTTGAATTTGAGGACCTTGGTTTTCCCCTTGTGTATGCTGAGGCCTGCTGATGCAGAGACTGCTGCTACACTGGCTGTCTTTGTCTGCATCTGTTCGTGTGTATGCGATAGGAGGGCTAGGTCATCTGCGAAGTCCAAATCGTCTAATTGGTTCTGAGCTGTTCATTGTATTCCGTGTTCTTCTTCAGATGTCGAGGTCCTCATAATCCAGTCGACCACCAGAAGAAAAAGAAAGGGAGAGAGTAGACAGCCTTGTCTGACTCCGGTCTTTACTTGGAATGCGTCTGTCAGCTGTCCTCCATGCACTACGTTATACTGTAGTCCGTCGTATGAGTTCCGGATAATATTGACAATCTTCTCAGGAAATCCGTAGTGTCGAAGAAGGTTCTATAACGTCCTCCTATCTACACTGTCAAATACCTTTTCATAATCAATGAAGTTGATGTACAGTGACGAGTTCCACTCAACTGATTGTTCAACGATGATCCGTAGTGTCGCAATTTGGTCTGTGCACGATCGATCCTTACAGAATCCAGCTTGTTGTTCTCGAAGTTGAACGTCTACTGCATCTTTCAACCGATTCAGCAACACTCTGTTAAAGACTTTCCCTGGTAGTGACAGTAGTGTAATACCTCTATAGTTTTCACATTTGCTCAGGTCTCTTTTCCTTGGAATCTTGATGAGATGTCCTTCTTTCCAGTCCATCGGCGCTTGTTCCTCCTCCCAAATATTTTTGAATAGAAGGAGAAGCATGTTTGTGGTTACTTCGATGTCTGACTTCAGTGCTTCAGCTGGTATGTTGTCGGGTCCTGCTGTTTTCCCGCTCTTGACTTGTCTGATGGCCATTCTTATTTCTTCCGTCGTTGGTGGATTGACATCTATAGTAAGATGGACTCATTAAAGCCGGCCTATTCAGGAGTTCCTCGAAGTATTCCGCTGTTCTTGAATTTCATTGGTTGAACTGTCTTCTTTGTCCTTGACTGGTCTCTCTGGTTTACTATATCTCCCTGCTAGTTTCTTCGTTGTATCATAAAGCTGTTTCATATTTCCTTCTCCTAAAGCTTGTTCCGTCGTCGTTGCTAGTTCTTCCATGTATTTCTTCTTGTCGGCTCTAATGCTCTTCTTCTTTTGTTTGTTTGCTCCTGTGTACTCAGCTTGTGATTGGACTTTCTCCGTTCGTGTTCGGCTGTTGTTAATTGCTGTCTTCTTGGTCTTCCTTTCTTTGATCCTGTCCAGTGTTTCTACAGAGATCCATTCCTTATGATGGTGCTTCTTGAGGCCCAGAACCTCTTGGCACGTTGAAGTTAGTGCTTCTTTGATACCTTTCCAGTTTTCCTCCATAGTAGTTTCTTCTTCCTTCAGTAGATCCTTTAAGGCTTGGAACCTGTTGTTGAGAGCTATCTTGAATTTATTGAGTTTGTCAGTATCTCGAAGGAGGGCTGTATTGAACCTTTATAGTGCTGTTTGTTCAGTTGTCCAGTTCTTATTTAGCTTCAGTTTTAAACTGGCCACAACTAGGTGGTGATCTGAAGCTATGTCAGCTTCTCTACTGGTTCTCACATCTTCCATTGTCCTTCGGAACTTTTTATTGATGCAAATATGATCTATCTGGTTCTCTGTGATGTGGTCCGGTGAGATCCATGTAGCTTTGTGTATACGTTCGTGTGGAAATATTGTGCCGCCTATGACTAATTTGTTGAATGCATACAGATTTGCAAATCTTTCCCCATTTTCGTTTTCTTTGCCAGCTCAAGTCGTCCCATGATATCTTCAGATCCAGTGTTCTCTATTCCGACTTTGGAGTTTAGATTTCTCATCAGAATGGTGAGGTCCTTTCCTGGGCACTTCCCTATGATTGATTACAGCCTCTCATAGAATTGTTCTTTAATGTCGTCGTTGCTACCACTGGTGGGTGGATAACATTGGATAATATTCATTGTGATCCCATCCTTCTTTGTTTCGAATGATGCTTTGATGATTCTGGATCGGTGAGATTCTCATTCTACAAGTGCATTTCGTGCTTCTTTGGACAGTATTAGAGCAACTTCCTGAGTGTGTGAAGCAATTTTTATCTTCGTGACCGGAGTATAGCAGCATCTCTCGCATATTTAGCCTTTGTTGTCTAGCTTGGGTCTAATGGGTTTCACTGGTTCCCAGCACTGCCAAGTTGTATCGCCTCATTTCCGTTTCTATTTGACTGATCTTATCGGTCTCCTACATTGTCCGGACGTTCCATGTACCTATAAAAATTGTTGCTCCGGTAGTCAGAGCGGTTATCAGCCTCGTGAATTCCAAAGGAACTCGGTTTTCACCATGAAGCGTCATAATTCTTCTAAATGAAGACCTTCTAACTTCCAGGGCAGAGTTTAAATGGTATGAATTATTTTTTCTGGTTAGCGTTTTTTAGCGAGTTGGTTTTCTACGGTATGGGGTCGCTAACTTCATACCCTCCTCTTTTACCCGGGTTTGGGACCGGCCGTAACTCTAGAAGAGCTACAATCGGAGTTTGTTTTCGACAACTTGACATTCAAATTATGCACTTATAAGTCCATAGTTATCATATCATTAAACGACGCTTACTCAAAGCACTCACTTTACAATAAGTTTAACCTAATTAAATAAGCACATAAAGTTACATTGACACCACTAAATATACTTTATAGATTTTGTAAAAGGGCACCTACATATGCTACAAATATATATATATATATATATATATATATATATATATATATATATATATATATATATATATATATATATATATATATATATATATATGCTTAATTCACAATATACTTGCACTGTCAACAATTTATTACGACTGAATAAAACCGATAAAATTCGACACAAAGAAAATAGTGTTGGTTTATTAATGTGAGGACGGCCTACGGATGAACTCGAGGAAGCTCAGAAAAAGCCAAAGATATTGCATCCAGTAGTCTTTTGGAAGAATATTCCAAAATCTTTACTTGTGGCTTCCCTATTGCATAAGTGCTAATCACCCCCTGTATGCAGATTGGAGAACTATAATGATGATTTCGTTTTTATTAAAAACTATAAATACCTGACAGTTTTGTATCATATTTGACACAGTTTGGAATAGCATTCCAAACACCTGTCTTCTATCTTCTCATTGCGACTTGGTAGGTTCTAGTGTTCGAGTTGCTCGAGTTATACATGGTATATTAAAAATCGAAATTCTAGATCTAACAAATAATGATGACCAATTTTCACACCAAAAATTAATCAAAACCTACATATCTCCTCAATACAAGTTCGATTAATGATTAGATTTTAGAAGAAGAACAAACATCAGATTGGTAGTGTTACGAATGAGAGCACAGCTGTGGACAACCTATTAATTGCTTAACATAAACTTACAAAATCACTTGGCAAAATATGAAAACCATACATTGAATACCTCATTAGCAAAATCCCATCATTTGTCCTTCCCATTCTGTATGATTCTTGCAAGTCACAATCTTTTCTTATTTACGTTTCTGTTTTCTCCAAGCCTTCTGCTGACAAACATTCCTCTTCTGATTTGTGTTACTACTTATAGTCTATCGACATAAGTAGCATACACCACAGTAATACTTGACACATTACTTGATAAAATGGTACAATCAGTAAATATTGCAACACCGTAAATGAAAAACGCCTAATTTAATTGAAATTTCGAACTGTATTATACACTTTCTATTAGCTTATAAGTTTTTATCGAAATGTAGTTTTGATCGTAAACACTGATGATATCCTTTGTCTGTATGATCATGTTTCCCTGACAGTAATCAAGGTTCAAAGATACACTACTCAATCAAGCTATTTGAATAATGAATATGATCTATTAGCAAAAATTACAAATTTGAGATTAGCGAAAGCTGAGTTACTTATCCAAACCAAACAACCGTAAGATAATATTTTGCTGGAAATAAACCTCAATAACTGTTTGTAAAAATAGATATATTTGAGTTGTCAAGTCTTGTGTACCGTGTACATTCGTAGTTCACAAATATTACGATTATATATATCATACAGGTCTTTTAATTTAACCAGAATCTTGAGTTCGCAAATATCTTAAACTGATTGCTAAACTAATAGTTGGACAGTCTCCATGTGACCTCAAAGTCTTAAGTCTGATCCACAAGGGATTATGGGTGCTTACTGTTGAAAAGTGTTACACCGGGACGTAACAACAATCCAGCACTGATATCTCAATTGAAGTCGGTCTATGACGAATACCACGTAAAAATAATTGAGACTTTATTTTTTCAATATTACACTTTAATTCAGTAATCTTAAATTACAGCTAAAAAAATAATAAATTAAATACTGTTAACAATTAACCATAATAGTTACTCAAGTACATTTATTTTAAAAGAATGAATTTACAACCCAATAATTAGTCACTGTGATCTGAAACTCGCATCTTTCTTTATTTTCGCTAACAAACAAATTTGGATTAACACTATAGGGTGTTCAAGGTGAGACTGGATCAAGTGAATGGTGTAATAGATCATGTAAAACTATTGATGGAATTATTGGATTAAAAGGAATAAAGGTAAGTTTCAATGATTACTGATATCCTGATTGATTTACATCACCTTGAATTGGCGAACAAATCAATAAGAATAATTAAATTTATTATCAGTCTATATGAAAATCAATATTTTGTTCTAAATTGATTACATAACGGAAATTGATTTTGATAAAATGACCTAAATGTGTGTAGGATTTGTTTTCTCTTCTTTTGTTTTGATCTGTTAAACTATATACTGTTTTAAATAAGAACTTTCGTCTAAATTTGATCGAATAGTTTCACAATATTCGGTCGCCGAATTAATGTGAGACACTAAAGATATTTCCTTGAAAAAGAATGGACTAGATTGCCAGGCGAAACGTTGGATTTACTTTAAGTTCTTTCGCTGAGACTTTATAAATACAACATTCTTCCTCTTTAATATATACCGTTTTATTATATTCTGAATTACTATTGAATTAATGTTTATCCAAAGCCATAATCGAAATAATTGAAAATGGACCCATACAAACTGACATAAAATTGAGAGATAGGATCAAGTGAATAAATTACTAATGTAAAACAACATATATAAGTGAATAATAGAGATCCTATATCCCATTATGCAACATGGATACAAGCCCTTATTATTCTGACCACAACTAGTATGCCTGTCGTCACATTACCAATTTGTACTTTCTACTTATTATGTTTGTCTATGTAGTCTACTGTTATCACTGAATCGTAAACCACTTTGACTGGTTTAACAATTTCGTATATGCATATAAATATTATTGTATATTAGAATAAAGCCTGATGAGGATCTAATCGAAAATATTATTATTCGCTTATATCTATGTTGTTCTAATTCACAATATGGGAATTTTTCAACTTACTACTTACCAGTAGCAATCAAAATCATCTTATAAATTAACAAATTTACACGCTAATCATAAACAGACGTCAATAGTAATTGGTGGAAATCAGTTTTGTATATCACTCTTCAATGAATTAAGACTTGATTTACTGTTGCATATAATTCTTGCACACGTTATCACTCCCGGTTCTTTAGTCCGTTAGGTAAATAATCGAAGCAAATATATGTTCTTGTCGTATAAAAGCGAGCTTTTTGTTAAATTGTATGGTTAACCAACCGGAAAAATTATTGACCAGTTGTCTAATCATTGCAGACGGCATATTATTATCACTACTTTAAAAGGATAATACAGATTATTGACTTTCATAATTCATGTCAAATGTACATTAACTCACTTTACCACAACAATATGTATTGATGAATTTAGCTGATCTTCTGGAGAAAGCTATATAGGGCGTATGTCAGTAGTACGACAATTTAATCAACGAGTTAATGAACCTCTCCGTCGGTGTTCAGAAAAGCGTCAGACTAAATGCAAATTCAGTTCCATTCTATAATATTTGGTTGATTGTGATCATGCGATAAATTAAAGTAAAGCATCTAGAGTAGTTTATGGTATGTTACCAAGTTTTCCTAATGGGACTCGATCTCATCACTGAGATACGATTAAAGTTATGAGGATCCGAGCTAATAGCTTTAGTCTCTGTGTTCAAAAAACAATTCCGTAACACTTCTGTTTCGTTGTTGGCTGAATAAGTTTATCGTTCAAAGTTTTAATCTACCTGTTGTGTTGAAATTATTATCATTAACTGACATGTTACCCTAGTTGATTGAATATTTTTCGTTAATGCATATAGATACTGCAGCACATTAGAATAAAGCTGTTGTGATTTTAAGCACGGCTAATGATCACTTGATTTATACACCAATCGAAATACGACTTATTCAATCTTAGAACTGTGCTAAACCAAACACGTTCAACCGGTATGAGCAGCCTAACGTCCTTATTGATCTTTTGTTCGCCCAGCCCAACTCATCCAGTTGAGTCTAGAACACCAATAACAGCTTCAACTATGCAAATCATTTATTTCAAACTTACGTCGTTTATATATCAGCCAAAAAGACCTCATCTCATCATGAAATAGGAAATAGCATTTATACAAGATCAAGTCAAAAAGTGACTGTGAACGTGGGAGACTGTGATCAATAAACTGAACATAATATAAGAACAGTAAATCGTATAATAATAATGTATAGGGCAAAATGAAGCTTATAATAAGAGGAATATAGAAATAGGTAATCTACTGAGTGAATATTTATACCATAAGAATATATAGATAATATTAGTCCATTAATAGGTCTCAGAAGTTACTCGTAAATTAATCTTCACTAGGATATAACAAAAACTTGCTAAATATTTGATAGAAAGCGATATTGTTCGTTCACATGTGTAGCTTTAACTTGGACTGTCATTTATTTACTTAATAAGACTGATAATTTATTGTTATTTTCAGGGTCTAAAAGGTGATATGGGAGATACTCTAATATTATCATTTTCAAAAGCCTTACAACTAATTAAATACACTATAAACATTACAGTAAGTTTAAATTATTATTAATTAAATATTTGACAAGTTTATATGAAATATTTAAAATGTCAAATAACTTGTAATACATTAAATATAAGAAGTTCAGCAAAAGGATCTCTTTTCAACGAATTCATTATCAAGCTGTATAACCGTATCGTCATGTCTATTCCTTGTTCATACGATTGTACAATTTGATAATAGGTTCGTTAAAAAGATATCTTTCTGCTGAACTTCGTGTATTTAATTGAATATAATAGTCAACATCGACAAAGATTTTCGTTCCAGGGCTCGAATCTCGCGGGGTGCGGGATCTTGGATGCGCACTTCTGAGGAGTCCCACAATAGGACAAAACGGCCGTCCACTGCGTCCAGGTTTTCCATGATGGTCTAGCTTCAATTGACTCATGATATCAACTAATAAAATATAATTGTTCATTTGTTTCATTGTTGAAACGAGATAAATGACTGAATGGTACTCATGAACCTAGTGATTTTTGTTTTTTTCTGACTGACAGTAAATCTACTATTTAAATGGAAAAACTAAAACTAAACAAGATATTAGTCTTGATAGCTTATTATTTAAAGATAGTTTAGAGCACAGCTTGACTTTTACTAGACAATTACTAAATAGTAAGGTGTATTTCAATAGTTATTTTCTCTTACTATAAGACTATTAGGCATTATACACAGTTAGATATTAAGCTTAAAACTTAATGTTTACCGATAAACACCACAAAAATTTGCTCACTAGATCAGTACATAATAGCGTACAGTATCTTCCATTTCAGTCATTTAACATTAGTAACGATGAATGCTAGTCGAGAACAATATTATTGATTTATTGAAGTTGGAAATATGATGCAATGGATGGATACGAAGACGTTTAAAGATAACACATATGCTAAGATGTATGAATATGGATGAACGCTTTTGAAGGGTTCCTAATGAAGAAAACTAACTTTATGGTAGAAAGCTGTTTGGGTTTTTTTCTTTAAATTAATAAGATTTAGATAATAAATAGACAATTTAGATGATGCATTATCTACTTCTCATTTCTGTTTTTAGTCATCAAATTATTTTCCCAAAGGTCAAAAAGGAGATAAAGGTGAAGTGATTCAGAGAAAATTCATTCAGAAAAGAATATCTTCACAGAATAATAAAAATTTTCATCGACGCAAACGGGGACAACAACAAGATTATGACCATTTAACTTCTCGAATTCATCCTTTACAAGAAAATAAAAAACATTTAAAGCATCCTTTGAATCAATCAACACATGATTCAAGTATCTTATTCACTGGATCAAATTTCGCAAATTTAGAAAAACAAAAAATTTTAGGTGTAAGTTATAGAAATCAATAACTGGCTTTAACCTCATTTTTCCAAGTATAAATTTATGAATAGAAATTCCCTTGTTTTAAATTTATCTTCATTCAATATATCGGCCAACTGTCAAGAATCTAATCATTGAGAAACTTGAAAAGAACCACCACTGTGGTTTGTCTAATCTTCACCCTATCTGATCTTTGACGAAATCACACAGAATTATTATAGAATTTATATATCAAATATATTAAATGATGAAAAATGGTGCCAGAGAACTAAGACCGCTCCGTAAAAATTTGTGGATAGATATGAATGTCACTGTTTAAAGACATTTGATGTATATTGTGTAACAATTTAAAAGTCAAATGTTTATAAAACCGAAATTTTATTAAAGGTATTACATATTCCATCATGAGAATTCATTACTATAATTAAATACATGATATTGAATAAAGCAAGTACTATTGTTACTATTATTATGTTACAGATAATGCTAACCAATGAAATCTACGTCGTAGGTTGTGTCCAGATTGAAACTCGTACATTCACTATTTATACATACTTAAATCCTAATTAAAAGCATCCTATCATCTATCAATAAACCCAATAAAAAATATCATTAGAGCTACTGTAGTGTGTGCTACTTATATCGACATAAGTAGTATATAGCGCGAGTCAGGAATATAATGTCTGGCAGCAGAAGATTGAGAAGATCAAGAAGGAAAGAACGGAAACGGAAAGCAACTGGCATAGAAATGCAGGAACAGTGAAGTTTGAGACGATTGACTGATATTTGTAGAAGAAGCAGTCAAGTTTGAGACAACTGATTGATGTTTTAAAAATTAAGTATCTACTGTATGGTTCTCAGATTTTACTATGTTCTGTAATTCTGTTGAAATACATTCGTTTGTACCCACTGATGTTCTCGTTCACTACAGTACCATCTAACTTAAATAAACCCATGACAGTAATTTATACAGATAGTATTAAGAATATTTCCTGTTGTAAGGATAGTACTATTACTAGTAGTTACTACTCAAAAGTTTAACCAATCCATAAACAAAGGCTAAATTAAGTCATCAGTTGAAATAATTCATGTACCAACAGAAACTGATGATTTACGCCTCAAATGTCTAGAGATACGTAAATTATTTTTAAATTCTTACGTAATCAACATTATACCCGATATGTTCAGGTATTTTGTCAATTATGTTAAGATTTCTTGACATTGAATTATTTTTATTTATCAAAACTAATAAAAAATTGTATTTCGGACGTTTCGTGACCTACCGTAAGCTTTCTCGTCAGAGTAAATAAACAATCGAATTTAATTAACACAAGTTTAAACAGTAAATTCTTTCATTTGTACAACTTAAACTTATGTTAGTTTAGTTCGGTTATTTATTTACTCTGAAGAAACAGCTTGTATTAGGTTACAAAACGTCAGAAATACAATTTTTCTATTCAATGAGGTGTAACAAAAAATATACTTATCATTAACTTTCTTATCAAAAGGGTTGTTTTTGCGGAGATTTTATTAATTTTTTTGACTGAATTCATCAGTCAATTGAGGCTAGACCACCATGGAGAACCTGGGAGCACTGGACAACCGTTTCGTCCCACTGTGGGACTCCTCAGCAGTGTGTATCCAGGATACCACCCATGGTCATGAGATCAAATCGTGGATGCCCACTGCTGAGTATTCTCATACTAGGATGAAACGCCCGTCCAGTGCTTCCAGGTTCTCCATGGTGGTCTAGCCTTAATTGACTGATGAATTTAACTATTATCTTTCTACGCAATGCTCAATTTACTTGATACTATCAAGTTCAATCTTGATATTGATACTTATCAAAACTTCTTTTTATGTTTCCTAATCAAAAAGGTTAAAATACTTCATAATCCTAATGAATTCAAAACTATTAGTTCAATTCTACCAGTTGGTGCATTAGTTGTTACTGAATTCTTCAATTATGAAGTATTATCATTTGCAAATGATAATCAATCATCTAAATGGGATTTAAATAAAAATTTTCAATTGGATCAACTTAGTTCATTGGGTTTATTTATGAAAATTGAAAATATTCATAATACATGGAAAAGAATACATGTTGTAAGTTTATTTAAGAATCAAGTTTGGAAAGTATTCTGCACATCAATCAGTTATGTTGTTCAAGTAGTGTTTCTTTTTTCCAAATAATTTAAAACATTTCGTGAAGTAAACAGAACGAGTCATAATTGTGATAGGACTATGCATTCAGACAGTCATTTGAATCTGATCTTGAATGTGATTTCGTTATAAACACCATCGTTTCTTAATGAAGTTGAGCTGATTAGGGTTTATTCGTTATTTAAAACAGACTCTTTTTAAGTGGACAAGTTTAAACATTCTTTGTTTAATGATAATGGTGGTATCGACAGCAAACTAGGACAACTGAACAGCCATTTTTTTAAAGAAGTTGTAACATTCTTTTTAACTTCCCAGTTAGTCTTAACTAATTAATTACATATGTTCACCATAATTTAGTCTTGAGTTTCTATAGAAAGCCTACAATCTATCACGAAACTAAATTATATAATTGATAGAAAGAGTGAACGGGTGAAACGGGAGTTTGCTACCGTTAGACTGGATACTCGATCAATATGTCATACATAGACTGGGTCAAGTTGTATCAAATACACAATTTATGACCAAAAATAGAGAACCAGAGTATAGACTAGACAGTACTTTATTCAACACAATTACAAACAGTCTACAATCTGAAAGTCAGGACTAGGAATCAATAATACGAAAGGAAATCTCACATTTATTAATCAGTTAGCTGGATGTATCTTTGTGCAAGCTTAATGACCAATCACATTTACGTTCAGTAGCCATACATCAACAATATTTAGGCAGAACGACTGTAGTAGCAGATATATTTCCCTCTTTGATTATCATCAAGGGAAACTAGGGTTGATCACACTGTCTTCATATGTTAAATATGCCATGCAGTGAAAAAAATAAACTTCTACAGGAGAAAAACTAGCGGTAAACATTCACGGATGAATATGAATAACAGTTAATCGTTGCGATAAGATTTTTTATTCATAGATTCTCAAAATATTCACATGTCAAATGGTTAAAACACAGAAGTTTAGTTACAATATTGCATATTTTGTGCTCAGAATCCTTTATTATAATTAAATATTTGTTACTGAATGAAATGATTAGGTGAGACTATAATTTACGGACGACACTTGAGCGACGATAAAAACACCATGAGAATGTCCACCTACATACTAAGATTATATGAGGGTTATAAACAAGTGTGAGGAATTAGGATCAATATTCACAGTTGATAGTTAGAGTTAGCAACTGCCTATAGGGTTTTCATCACAAAACGGTAATAGAATATACCAGGATGTATCTTTTGCGGTAACTCTTATCATTAGAGATTCATTTCCACCACAAGATCCAGTACTTTAACAAAAGAATCACCATTCACAGTAGATAGTGTTGATACTTAAGAGTAACATGAGGTCGTTGAGAAAATTTGTAAAAACATGGAATGAGCGGTTTGTTATTTGAGTTTTTTCGAACACATTATTGAGAATTTTGAGATGGATTTCATCGCAGATTCATTGTCCAGAATAATGTGTACAATTTAAGAAGTTTTGTACTAAAGCACATATAAAAATCAGAGGTAAATTAGGTATAAAACGCTAATCAAACTAATAAAGACTGGACGTTTCCTAATTAATAAATTTTAAAGAGATAAACATAGTCCCACAGTTGCATATACAGAATTAAAAATGTCTAGGTGAGACAATAGTTTATGGACGACATTTTAGCGACGCTAAAAACACCATGAGAATGTCCACCTACATACTACGATTTTATGAGGGTTATAAACAAGTGTGAGGAATTAGGATTAATATTCACAGTTGATAGTTAGGGTTAGCAACTGCCTATAGGGTTTTCATCACGAACCACCATCAGCTACAATACTAAAACTATCTCTAGCCAAATATAAATCAATCAGAATTCAAGACCTGTTATCGTAAATTTGATTGGTTCGTCCATAAATTATAGTCTCGACGATGTGTGGGTAGTCGGAAAACACAAGTATGCTCATCAACGGTGGTTTGAACAACCTTCGAAACAGACATTTTTCTAAGTATTCTGCCTAACATCTGCGATACACTTGTAATACAATGTCCAAAATCGTATCCAATTCGACGTGGACAGGTAGACTGTTTATTTGTAATTTGTAAAATTATTTTTCAACTGAATCTTTCATCACGAACTGACATCAGCTATAATGCCAAGATTCCATTTACTCAAATGGATGAATGAATTTCGTGCCAAAATCCGAGAATCAATCAGTAACAACGTAGAACTCTGTACGTACGTACATTATTTCGAGTTGACGCACCACATTAGTACAGAGATACAAATTTCGATTCAAATCCCATAGTGATAGAGGTAGAAAAGTATAAGCAGTCATCAGGAAGATTAGGATTCGAAGATATTATTGAAGGGATACAGTCCAGTGAAATAAATTTGGAAAGAAAAAAAATGGACACGAAGAATTCAGAAGATTAAAATTCGGGAGAACACAAAGAGTGGACGCATCTGCGCCAGTGTAAACGATTTTGAGCCATTTCATTCAAAATCCGAGACCTGTTATCTTATACTTGATTGGTTCATCCATAAATTATAGTCTCGCCTTCTAAGAATAAATCACTTGAAAACTTGGATTCTTAATTAAACTTGCAAGTTTATGTTCAGTTAGGTTTATTATTTTAATTTTAAAAAAATCTTTTATTTTTGTTTTTTGTGCAAAATGTCACACAGAAATTCGGACAAGAAGTAACATTTGGTCAACATGATGTAAGTTTACAACTTTTAATTATTTTAAGACAATTTTAATCATTTTTCTTCTTAAAAAGAAGACAATCATAATTATATAAGTAAAAAATATTTCATTTAAAAGTTACGATCTTAAATGGATTACGATAGAAGAAAGCGGATCGGATAACAGTTTCTGATTCTTATAGAAAGAAAAGTCAGAAACCGAAAAATGGTGATAAGTTCCCCTTTTTCAAATTCTCTTCAATACTTCTAGAGACAGAAATATGATTAAAAAAACAACACGCTTTTTAGGCAAAGATCGATAGTGGCTAGTAATGGGATCTACGACACGCGTTTCGTCCTATTTCTGACTCGTCAGCTGGGTATACCTGCATCCCAGAGTTGATGTTCACTCCATGACTCGAACTATCCATCTTTGCTTATAAAGCATGTAACGTAAAGCTATATCCAGACAATCTGCACAGGATTCACATATGCCAACAAGAGATTGATCAATTGCAGTCCTAAACAACAAAGGGGAGATATAAGCAAAACAACACCAAGTCATTTTAAAACAACATAGTTATAACTGAATTTTCTGTGGTCGTGACCATGTTCAAAGCTGAATCCAAGTTCACACTTGTTCGACTATTATAATCCACAATTAGGAGGAAGAATAATCGCTCCCAACAATTATATTCGTTATAACCTGTGATATCACTTTTAAAACAATTAATACCATTGAACGATAAATGATAGTGTTGTATAAGGGGAAATGATGAAAATTTTTCATTAACGGTTGGTGGATGTGAAACCATCATTGTTCTGTTAGTGTACAATTCAATTAAGTGGCTGATGTCGTTGCAACCACCTGTAAACACAGGATGTGTGGAACACTTGCTTTGGTCATATTAAGTCAACTGATGGGGGTGGTAAAGGTAAACTTGCAAGTTTAAATGTTTCTAAGGGATTGAAGTTATGCAGTATTTAAAAACCTATTCTTTTTGAATACTATCTTTTATTATCTTTACTTTTTAATCATCGAGTGCAATGCACGTGCCTCTGCTAGTTCTTACTCCTTAAAAACAAGGACGAACTATAAAGATCCTGCCACAAAGTCTAGTGATAATTCAAGCAACCCAATCACTAAACAAAGGATTCTTAGGAACCCTAAACCAAGGTTGGAAGACACATCTCTTGAAAGAAGGCAGAACACTGACTCCCACGGGACGACTCAAGCGCATAATGACGATATCATTCCTACCCAGTTTTATTCCTCCAGTGCCATTAGCAACCAATAAAAATTCGGGATGAAAGAGCATCCATGAACAAGACCTTCGAAAACTATTCACTTTGATGATTAGGACAAAATGGCGATGATTGTATCGTATGCACCTCACTAATAACAACAGACCCTATATTCATATGCGACCTCTGTGCAGGAAGGGTCCACTTTCTTTGTAACACTAAGCTACCCTTCCGATATTACGAGCTCACTATGAGCATCCAGTCCCCGTTGTCCTAATATGTCAGATATGTGGCCACGGACGTCAGTAGCCCGGGAATAACCGCAACCCACTTGGATTACAGTGTAAATATATTAATAAATTTATTTACTATCCCACAGTACGCCAAGCCTCCATACGCACGAGCTATAGACAACGAGTGGTATTGGTAATATCCTAGCTGAACTGTGTATCTGGGCCAAATACTATGAAACAACCCCTCTATTAAAAGTAAGGTTGAACTCCAAACGCAAGGTAAAAGTGTTTTTGATAACTCGTAAGACAACTATCAGGGGATCATCGGACGTCAGGGTTTGACATAATGACATTGTTCGGTAAGAAAGGATGCTAGAAAACCTACCGTAAACACTAAAATACCTAACAACATAGTGGTTCATGGGTTTCCGAAGCTAGTATGCACCAATCTAGATAAGATCCATGCACTTCCAAACCAAGTGATCCAATAAAATGCAAGTAATGCCGAATAGCATCTAGACGTTTATGAGTTAACAGCAGCGAATAAAACATACAGCTTGTGTTAACAAAGGGATTATTGGTAAAGACTTCATCAAATTAGAAATATCAAAAATTTTATTGCTGACTTCGCTACATACTTTCATCAATGATTTTTGTATAAAGAATTGTAGTCCTAATCAATGATAAACAATTACATGTTTTATTCTTAATTCCTGAATTAGCCTAATTTACAAATCTACAACAGTTCATCTTCCAAAGAAACTTCATCTAAAACTTATACCCCCAGATATAGAGAAAAAGTAAGTTGATTGTCATTTACTTCCTAATGGATTTGAAAATTTAGAATTATCTCAAGCAAAACTTGTTTTGAATCATAAATTCCATGGAAAAAATCTCTAGTTAATTAAATTGAAATTAAAAAACTATGATTAATAGTTTAATGTTATTTTTCCACAGTGGGGAGTCTTATATTTCTCTGTTCAAAATACAAGAAATATTTCCAAAGAGTAGATAGGAAGCATCTAGCAGTAGAATCAAGAACTCCCATTTCTTTCTATTCGGTACTCGTCAACTGAATTTACCTGCATTCCAGAGTTGATATTCACTCACGGACTGGAACCCAGCTAAAGTCTTATTTATTTTATTTAAACACACAAATATTGGTACAAAACGCACCGAATATATATGCTCTAGTCGATTTGCATAAGGGCTTGGGTAATACCCGGACGCCCAAGGCGATGCAGGAAAGCCTCAAGTACAACGAAATGCACGTCCTAGATCATACTGTTATCTACATTCCATCTATTCTCTGCTAACTTATGTCGTAATGGATGCACATATACTAACCAAGGCTGATCAAATTTTATTCAGTCCAATCCAATTCAATCCAATCTATTTCAGATTTAATATTTCTAAGTTATTAAAAAATGTTTGGCTGATATATGGCATTATCATTTACAATTTTTTTACATTTTTGATTAAAATACATTCGTTTTGAACCTGAGGAACAGTTCAACAGACGTTTCTTGCAGGGTAATAACTAAGAACATTAGAAGAATACAACTTTTTGGCTAATATAATTATATTTTGACCATTGAGATTCTACTGGATCAGCATGCATCTATTTCTAACACGATCTCTTCAGTGATTCCAAATAATCCTACAGAGAACGACAGTTGTGAAGTATTTTAGTTCATTTATCTTCCTTGAGACCATTAAATCATATTCGTCGAATACACTAGCGATTTCAATTTTTACTGATTCTTTTTGTCGTTTCAGATAGTATTTGCATTTCATCCTGTTCCTTTGACTGGAGGATCATTTTCAGGATGGCATGGAGCCAATACGAAGTGTCATGAAACTGCTCTTCATCATCTTGGAATACCTGGTTTTAAAGTACTTCTTGTAGACGGAAATTTTCCAATAGAACGTCTTATCAAATGGCAATATCAACATGTACCTATTATAAATCTAGGTGTAAGTATTTTCTTTCAACCAACTTTAAACAAATAGTAATTTCACCTTATTATTTTACACACTATATTTTTAATAAGTCTGACTTTCTAATCATCTTATTGTCATTAAATGTCTTCCACCTTTGACCCCTACGCAGAAAACAAAGTGCTGAAAGTATAGAAGAAACTTTACTTCAAAGGTTACCGCATGTACAAAGTCCGAGAGTTATTTTTAGGATTAAATGTGACCTTGATATTCTAGAAGCTTCTGTTAATATTCAATTTGGTAACAATATCGATAGTTGCCCAATCAGGAAAATGAGGGCATAATCAATTGTTTTCTAGGATTCTCTCGGAAGTTTTTCAGTAAGGTTGATCGGTCGATATATTTTTGTGTAATTATGAAGGACTATTAACGATTTCATTATTCTCTGAAAGGGTTATTACACTAGAAATCACAGTCAAATTATTAGGTATCTTTTATTACAAATTACAAAGCTGTCACTTCGTTTCTAAATGACAAATAGTGAAATTAATCACCTTTCTCTTCACAAATGTAGAGGTTTAGAGACCGTTTTAACTTGATGAGCTCTTACCGGTAAAAAATGAAGAAATTGACTAACATTGTCGGATTTTTAATGATTAACTAGTTAGTATTTGATATGTTTTGTTGATTGAACGCTACTTGTTATATCTTATCGTCGCTAACTGTTGTGTCGTTAACGCTTATCACTTATAATCGAATGAGGGACATTTGCAATTCCCACGATATGAAAGTAAGAATACAAAGGCTGGTATAAGTGAAGATTTATTAACCCCCAAAACATGACGGCGACGACGACCCTAGTAGAAAACATCATACGCGGAAACATAACCGAATACTATACTGAATAATCATCACATTGAATCAAAACGAAAGTAATGTTGAACAAAACTCATAATGAGTAAATCCATCTAATTTTGACTTTTCTTCCCATCATATCAGTATTGTAATATGATAGTGTTCACCTTCATAGTTATACCGTTACGAATCGACTCAAACAAGAAATGTGGAACTATTGAATTTCAACTCACTTTATCATGCTCATTGCGGGAATATCAAGGTCCTCCATACAATTTGATGTTATGTTTTAGGAATACAAATTTCAGGTCCTATAAAAAGAAAAAGCAGCTATTCAGTGTCTCCCGAGTTATCCCGTACAACATTCATCTTAATTCATTGTATTATTTGTGTGCTGTTCGTTAAGTACGATAACCAACATCCATTTTTATTAATTCACTGTTATATAACATTCATTTGCATAATTCTATTGTAAAATCCGTTTGTATTCCCACTATTTCAGTCAAGTATGATGTTTGTTGAGTGTGTCTACTTGGTTAATTTTCCAGTTTTTGGAACAGTGAATAAAATTTTCATCTGTTTTATCTAGTTTATAAAATTTAATTGTTTTGCGCTGTGAAAAATGCTGACATTTTGTTTTTTACTACTCATATATAAATAAATTATTACAGAGTGAAACTGTATTTTCGAAATGGAGAGATTTCCTATATGGTATTCGTTCGAATATAAACGTACCACTGTACGATTTATATGGTATGCCTGATCTACAAGTTCATTCTAAGTAAGTAAATCTCATAATAATACCTTGTTACGCTTCATATACATTATTTACACAATTTGTAATAACTGTATATATATACATAGGATGCATAACTTCGAAAATATCAAAAATCCAAGTCTTCCTTTGAATGAATTCCCATTACATTAGACTGTAAAAATGATTAACAGTAAGCCGAAAAAACATACATTTCACATCTCCATAAGTTATACAAGTTGTTTCGAATTCGTAAATATATTATGACAGATTATTTAGGGAACAATATAGCACACATCTACTGGGATCATCGGGTAAGTAATAATGAAGTTACACTCAGGGTATTAGGGAATGATGGCGGTAAATCAGCTGATGAGGTTGTAAATCTTCGTCGATCAAGATAGTTTGAACACCGATTACCACGACGCGCAATGCTGACTGGTGTAGGAGACGGCTGGAAGAAAGTTAGGGGCGACCAAACCAAAACATGGTATCAGTCATTGAGGTCACTAACTTCTAATCCGAGCCATAATGGTAGATACAGACTACTTGGTTGCGGTCCACGTGACTATCATAACCAATGTTTGGAGACTCAGGGTGATATGGCTCGGAATCGATTATAATCGTGTAGGTGTATACGCCATTTGTCTTCCCTTAAATCGTGAGATTAAAATTACTTTATACCTTTTTTCTAATTCTTTGTTCATGTGCTATATCCTGATACACAATCCTTCTTTTATGCATTACTACCATTGAAGTAACTACTTCCATGAATTTAGTGTCCATTTTGTTGTTCTAATGAGGTGTGGCAACTTGAACCGATGTATATATGTGCCTGGTCCTACGTTGTAGCTGACTGACTACAATGTAAATATACTAAATTTAAAGAATGAAAGAAGTGAAAAGATTATCGAAAAATTACTGATAATTTTTAGTGTAAATTAACTAATACCCGATAATCACATTGATTGATCACTGAGTAGCGACCAATGTCATATTTATCAAGTCTAATAATCGAACATTAAATAATAGGCTACACGATATCATATCACTCAGACTAGTGGCTACCTTACAAGTTGATTAATAAAATTCGACCGACATTAAAAGACCAGAAAAATATGACACTAATCACACCTCAATGATTAATCAATGTAAAAATCTCAGTTCTACTGGGGGTCACTCACGGATCCAGTCTCTCAATGACAGCTTCCCAGACTGTGAAGCTTGGTGACACGAGTTTAAGTCCTATGTGGAACATCAATCCCTTCAGTACTTTAGGTACACACTCCTAACGATTACTATCTAACATGAAGTCTAGATGTAAGATTTCCTGTCAACTAATTCCAACCCACTTAGCATCGATTTCTGATGTGTTTTATCCGCTGATAAAAAGAAAAGTCGTTCACTTTTTATATGACACTATTATTTATTAGTATCTGTATGGGCAGAAAACTTACTGGTTAGGTTCTTCAGCCCATTTCATTAGCACATTTAATAAATTATCTAAGTAAATTGATTGAAATGGATTTTTAGTGCAGTAAAACTACATCCATTAACTAATGATCATTTACCTAAGGAAAATATGCTCTATTAAGCTAGTATAGCATGAATTAGTCTTCTAAATTACAATAATTCATTCTCAAGCACCGATAAATTGCCTCTGACACATTCTAATTTATAGACAATTTCAAGTAGTTGCAAGTATTTGACAGAGATTATTATCAAAAAATATACCCATCTAGAAGACGAAACCATAGTATTCAAATATCATCAAAGTTAAAGTTAATAAAAATGGCTTCTGTAGAATAACAAATATCTCACTTAACAATATTTACATGCTTTAAAAGTTAATTTAGATCAATTGATCTATTTATTATTGGGTTACTATGGAGCATATTACATAATTAGCTTCATTCATTCATCAGTATTGTGTCTGAACAAAGAATAACTAAGTAAAATATACCTTTAAAAACAATCAGTGTTTGTTCTAGTGACAAGCAGTGATCAGTGGAGTTCAACCGGGTCTGTTTCGAGATAATAACTCACTGAAGACAGTGTTGAATGTGTCGCTCAATTTCTTGGATTAGTTGAAGTTAGACATTAACACCATTTGATTTTGGCTCAGTGGTCTAGAGGTTAAGCGTTCACGCGCGAGATCGATAGGTACTGGGTTTGATTCTCGCGAGACAGGATCGTGGATGCGCACTGCCAAGAAGCCCCATAATAGGAAGAAACAATCATCCAGTGCTTTCAAGTTTTTCATGTTGATCTAGCTTCAAATGATTCATGATCTCAATTATCAAAAAATAAACATTGAAATGATTTCAAATATTCATTAATATGATAACGTATTAAACTCCAAATAAATAAAACATTCTCTTTGTTTTCATTTAAAAAACAGAAACTTCTGGCTTGGAGGTGGTATTACTTTTGGATGTGATGGATGGACAACAAATTCATCAACAAAATTTGGTCTTACATGGTCATTTGATCATAGAATAGGTCAAGTGAAAATCAACTATGCAAAATGTGATTCAATCAATTATTTAATGTGTTATAAACTTGTGAAATCTACATTAGCTTAGTGTTTTAGCTTAACAATAATATTTATGATTATTATTTTATTAAACTATAAGCACATCTACTAGAATTACTTAATTTAATCAACCAGTTAATTTTTCGTGTAAAGTAAATGGAAGCTAAAACTGTCTTACTTTCAAGATTTTGAAACAAAAAATGCAACCTACTTTATTATAATTGAGTAGTATACATTTAGAGATAAATGTCGATGTTCAGCTTCTTGTGCTGAAACGTACCATTGGATTACCGGAAAAATGAATTTGTCGAAAACTTTAAATCAGTCATTAAATTACACTATTTTAAAAAAAAAATTGCAAACGAGGACAGCGAAAAGCATGAAAAAAGAAATGGAACTACGTAACAAACGTCCTATATAGAGCAACTGTAGACCGATTGCTGGTTAAGTGGAATTGAACAAGTGACCGATTTTTCGAAGTACTAGTTGAAAACGACAATTTTATTGCAACCAAATTGAGATCGTGTATAAGTTTGTTTCACGATTACTCGACTAGTATAGTAGTTTTCTGTTCCTTGAACAATTCTGTTACTCTGTGGTTAAGGCTATTTTATACATTACCCTAATACTTCTAATATGCTGTGATCATCAGATGGTGACTAAAAACTGATAACTCAAGAAAAACTTTTGAAATGGTCTGTAACGATATCACCATAGAATATGAAATTATGAAAAGAAACGCATCCTAACTATGAGTAAGACGTAGAAAAACTCAGAATAAATTGTATGGACAAATCTCACGAAAAAATGACTATATTAATAATTATCTTTTATCACAGGACGTAATCTGAGAGTTCATTGATCAAATATTGATTATTTGTCGTAGTCCATAACTTTATTTAATTTTTTGTGACGTGTTTCTAAGAGAATAATCTGAAGAGGACGTAGCGAAAATTTGCCATTAAATAATAAAATAAATCGTGTAAGCATCGGCCTAAAACAATCCTATACATTGAATAAAGACTGGCTACGCGGATACTAATCAGTTGGTCAGCCGCATGTTATCAAAAGAGCCAATAGGAAGACAAAGAGACTGTAGCAGGAAACTCTATATCCGAATTCCAAAGTCAAGTCAAAATAGAAATTAAACGGTTTAAACCACAACACATAATATATGGGAAACTGAAATACGACATTTAGGGCTGAAAATTGGGATACAAAGCTCATTCTTAAGTTGCAATAATTATGGAATAGAAGATACGACAATAGTTTAGGGATTAAACGAAAACCTACGATTAAGGAAGTACGGAGGTCATATGAACTAAATGTTATTAATTACGGATCAGAAACTAAGCCTACTTATGTTCCATAAAGTAGCTTTCATTCTCTGCTTATTTTTTTTTCAAAAAAAAAACAGAATAAATCTCTTGCGTAAAATCGATTACAGAGATCTGTAAAAACAGATACAGAAATTTATAATCAGGATCGAGTATGGCTGAGGAAAACTTAACATTTGAGAGGGGGATCTAATGTAATTAGATAGATTGAACAACCGTAAGAGAGAGAAAATTAAACTTTACAAACGAGCTTTTATACGTTGAAAAGTGTCAGAATAGAAGAAAACTGTAAAATATGCTTGTTGATACTTATATACTTACCATAAATACCCCACCATACCTTTTCTGCACATATTCTTTATGGTTTTAAATGAATCGAACATTTATACTGTCTAATATAAATAGTCTAATACAAGCTGTCGTATTATTTATCCATTATCTAAGAAAGTAACTGTTCTAGGTTACCTTTCTAAAATTTTATACAAATACTTCTATTATGAATTAGAACTTTCCAATGAGTGAGAAAGAAACAAAATTTACGTTTACTAATTAAGTCTGATGGTTTTTTACCTAATTTACAGTAAACCAGAATTTACAAGACTACCAATTTGTAAATCACAACTCGAACAAAGTCCTTCTGTATGAAATAATCCTGCGTTCACGAATGAATGATAAATTGAGAACAGACACGTATAGATTACTTGATAAGTGTATAAATTCTAAAACCAGAACGTGTTAATGTAAAAAATGGCTTCTTATGACATTTGTATTCACAATGTTAGTTTAAGGGAGGGGTGTTGAATCAGATTATCTTTTGTCTCGATAATTAAATTACTACTGACGTCAATTCTGTGGCCCGATGTTGTGACGCGTAGACCTATAATCAAAAGTTGTTCAAGTTTCATTCGACTTCCCAGTAGTTGAACAGATCTACGATGATAATTTCTGACCCTGATTTTCAGAGACATTTGTCCGATGCATATTACGTCAGTCTGGATATTTTGCAGATACAATAACTGGGAATCCTTCGAAACCACATTTTTTATAGGAACTAGGTTGCTTTGCAGTGTGTCTGATTCCCTAAAGTATACCATGGTGTTGAATTTGTTGGGTGCTCTTCTGATTTCTTCAGATGTGTATCGTTAGTGGATTGACGACCACTGTAGTAAATGATTTCAGAGTACTTTACTGGTAATGTTTAATACTGTTCCCTATTTTTTGGACAAAACGTTTTAAGCAGTTATTTGTTTTAGGAATTTTTGTTATGTCCGTCAGTTTTCCTATCATTTCTTTCCATTTGTCATAAACATGTGCCCTTCTTAAAAAAAGGAAAACATCGACAGCTTTGCATTGGTTTGGTAGGAGGACTCAAAGTACTAATATTAAATTGAATTTATTCGAATATCCGTCAAGATTAGAACGAATAGTTTGACAGGAATTGGACGCCGAGTATAGAGAAGACATTTTTATGTGAAAATTATATTTAAAATAATCTCAGCGACTGAAATTTAAATCATTCCAACATTTTGTCCAGCTAACTTGTCTAGAATTCTTCAGGGTAATAATCAAAATCATCAAAGAAATGTATAGCTTTTAACAATCAAATCTATACTGTGTTAAACCAATCAAATTTGGATGTTGATTTTTGTAAAATAGGATAACATGAGTCAGTTACATGGTAATCATGTGAAAAGTCCACGACATAGAAATAAATAACTTAAAACGAATTGTATGTGTAAGATTAAGTTAATAATTATTGATATTCGGTGTTAATATGTTTTAGATGAAGGGATAAATGAATAAGAGTGCAAGTTCAGGGCTGAAAAATTGTTCCTGAATCATCGATGTGCATGTCAATTGATACCTCAAACGCCTAGTCAATTACATAATATACAACTGAAACAAATATGTCGGCACAATATTTAATTAGAAAAGCAGAAGTCTCAAAATGACTAAAAATGGAAACGGAAACATTAAATCACTTCGGCAACAAAATCACTGTCATCAAGCACATAAACACTACGGCTTTTGTATCTTACTCTCCATCATTTCCAGTTATGTACAACTGTCTTCTGATGATTAAGTAAGCACTGGTAGTAAAAAAATAACTAAGTTTAGATCGTAAAAGCGCAATGAATGGAAAGGCAAAAGACATTAAACTACCGACCAAGGTGACATGCGAAACGTAACATTTCTGATCTCCGTCGTTTTTAATTAAATATTTATATTATTGAAAACATAAAAGCTAGCACGACTGGGCAGAGAAAATAAGGAGATAACATTGTGAAGAGATAAAGGAGCAAAAAGGAGAGTAGTCAAAGAAGGAAAAATCAACAACACTTATATCCTAGTGAAGATTAATTCACGAGTAACTTCTGAAAACTATTTCTGAATTAATATTATCTATATTCCTCTTATTATAAGCTTCATTTTGCCCTATACATTATTATTATACGATTTACTGTTCTTATATTATGTTCAGTTTATTGATCACAGTCTCCCACGTTCACAGTCACTTTTTGACTTGATCTTGTATAAATGCTATTTCCTATTTCATGATGAGATGAGGTCTTTTTGGCTGATATATAAACGACGTAAGTTTGAAATAAATGATTTGCATAGTTGAAGCTGTTATTGGTGTTCTAGACTCAACTGGATGAGTTGGGCTGGGCGAACAAAAGATCAATAGGGACGTTAGGCTGCTCATACCGGTTGAACGTGTTTGGTTTAGCACAGTTCTAAGATTGAATAAGTCGTATTTCGATTGGTGCATAAATCAAGTGATCATTAGCCGTGCTTAAAATCACAACAGCTTTATTCTAATGTGCTGCAGTATCCATATGCATTAACGAAAAATATTCAATCAACTAGGGTAACATGTCAGTTAATGATAATAATTTCAACACAACAGGTAGATTAAAACTTTGAACGATAAACTTATTCAGCCAACAACGAAACAGAAGTGTTACGGAATTGTTTTTTGAACACAGAGACTAAAGCTATTAGCTCGGATCCTCATAACTTTAATCGTATCTCAGTGATGAGATCGAGTCCCATTAGGAAAACTTGGTAACATACCATAAACTACTCTAGATGCTTTACTTTAATTTATCGCATGATCACAATCAACCAAATATTATAGAATGGAACTGAATTTGCATTTAGTCTGACGCTTTTCTGAACACCGACGGAGAGGTTCATTAACTCGTTGATTAAATTGTCGTACTACTGACATACGCCCTATATAGCTTTCTCCAGAAGATCAGCTAAATTCATCAATACATATTGTTGTGGTAAAGTGAGTTAATGTACATTTTATATGAATTATGAAAGTCAATAATCTGTATTATCCTTTTAAAGTAGTGATAATCATATGCCGTCTGCAATGATTAGACAACTGGTCAATAATTTTTCCGGTTGGTTAACCATACAATTTAACAAAAAGCTCGCTTTTATACGACAAGAACATATATTTGCTTCGATTATTTACCTAACGGACTAAAGAACCGGGACTGATAACGTGTGCAAGAATTATATGCAACAGTAAATCAAGTCTTAATTCATTGAAGAGTGATATACAAAACTGATTTCCACCAATTACTATTAACGTCTGTTTATGATTAGCGTGTAAATTTGTTAATTTATAAGATGAAAAAACCCCTTCCCCTGACTAGTGAATTTGTCATTGATGTCATTTAATTCAAAGTTTTTAGTCAATAACCTGGTCTCGTGAGTAACTACATCGTGTAAATGCATTTCATTCATTGGTCAGTATTATATTTATTCATTTTAATAATTACAAACCTTGATGACTTATTAAATCATTTACTGTACAACAGGAATCATTCGTAACATAACATTATCGATTACTAAATACAATCCACATCGGTTATCCAAATAACTTTCATGAGTCGTTAGATTTCGGTTATTTCCAACTTTTAAAAAAGACGACAAGACAAAATACTTGGTCAATTAGAATATTCATTCATTTCATTACATTTAGATTTAATATCAGTTCATTAATATCAAAAAAATAGGGATAGTAAATAATAACCATGATAGTGATTATTGAGACAACTATTCAAACTTAGGAAACAATTTAATGATTTCATCTATAGTGTACAATTCATTCACAATAATGAAGAGAATAATAATAATAATAATAATATTAGTAATTATACAAGTATTAATCTCAACCACTTGTTTGTTTTTTTATAGGAAAATACACTTTTCATATTGATAAATACTTTCATTCTCATTTCATTTTATACAAAACTTATAATAATAATAATAATAATAATAATAATAATAATAATAATAATAATAATATTATTATTATTATTATTATTATTATTATTATTATTAATCATGAATGATTGTAATTTTAAAAATCATTCCAAAATTGTTCTTCCATTTCATTTCAATGTATTAAAGAAATTAAAGAAAAAATTTTTTTTAATCAGAAACGATCAATATTGTGTTGGTGATTATTTTTTTTTTACAAAAATTGTATTACCTGTTATTATTTATTGATTTTAAACGATGTTGTTTTAAACAATTCGATGTACAAAAATTATAATCCATATAATTGAATGGAACTTTACCACTGATATCACAACCGCATTGAAAACAACGACTATGAAAGCAAAGAAGAAATATATATATGTATATATATTAGTAGATGATTTTTATATGGATTGAAATGGAAGACATTGAATGATATAGATCAAAATTGATCTCAAACTCATAGGATTATTGACTATTCATCTTTTCTTAAATATTTTAGGTTTTAAAATAATCTCATCCTTTCTATTATGCAAATTCATTTATTCTTTTCGAATTACCTTGTTTATATTTAATATTTTCTTTACTATAATTATTACTTAAACATTCGTCTATTTGTGTTGATGATAGAAAGAGGTAACGTGAATTGCTTCACATAAACACGGTGTTTATAACAGACTGATGTGGATATATGATACTTCTTAACGTTTACCAATAATGTCTTGATGTAGTAACAGTAGTTCACAGTGTTAACAAGTGTTTTTTCCCTATCCGGTTTAAACAAAAAGCTTAACGATAAAGAAAAACACTGATGACTGGTGTAAAATATGTACAGAACAATCATTTTGGAACTGTGAATAGAAAGGTTTTGTCATTACTATTTCAATTACCTAGATAACAATAACTAAACATTTTGAATTCTAAATTATATTCATTCAATTAATGAATAATGATTAGCATAAACGAAAAGCAACTAATGTAAATTAATTGATTTTTATCAAGAAATAAATAGATTGTACTATTTGTAAGTAAAAAAAGGTTAGGCATTGACGATTTCATTGAGAAATTAAAATAACTTCTTGTAGTTCAATGTTTAAAAGCTAACTTTCTAGTCTCCAGATATCAACACTAAACCCCGAACAGAAAACACAAATCGAAAGTATAGGTGATGCTTTACCTCAAAGGTTCGTTCATGTACATAAAAGCAGCACATTCATAAAATTATATTTGACCCTGAAGTTCTAAATGCATCTGGAAAACAAGATCGTCAATCACAACAATAAAGATACCTCTTGAAAATTTCTAAACACTGACTAATAACAGTATATTCAGCAGTTTCCTACACTGTGGAGAGATTTCCGAAGAATTATCGAGGTTATCTAACGAGTAAACTGTTGCACTTAAATTCATAAAATAATGCCCAAATTTTAATGAGTGATAACAAGCACTCATATATTACGATGATTGTTATTTATACACCGGAAAAGCGAATATTTCTTATCTAGTTGTAAAATTTCTCAACAATTTATTTAATTCCACATGATAATGACAATTCTCAAGTTTCCCTTTTGTAAATGCAGAAACAAATAAAATAAATGTGACGTATTAAAACTGAAATCTCATTAAATTTTCAAAGTCATTAACTCACTTTTTTCCAAATGCATGTTCATGAGACTAAGAACTTGGAAAAACGATTTCTTGTCATACGGGCATATGATTTCCGAACAACAATTAATCTTCTCAGTATAGGGGATTTGTGGAGGATGCTGGGGTTTTCACAATTGCAATCACGAACTGATCCTAGCTAGACTACCATTGAAAACTTGGAAGCACTGGGTGGTTGTTTCGCCCTATTATAAGACATCTCATCTAAGCGCATCCATGACCACGCATCCAGGAATCGAACACAGGCCCTTTGATTATTCATGAGAATGCTTAACCTTTAGACCATTAAACCGGCATCCAATGGTGCAGTGCCTACCTTAAATCAACCCATGATCTTGCGCAACCCTTCATCAGCAGGTTGAGATACATAAAGGTCTTACACTCGACAGTGGTCGATCTCCACTAATCAGGATCTATTTAAGATCAGTTCGTGAATTCAACTGCGAAAAAATAGACCATTTCCATCAAAACCGTCCAATAAGCACTACAACGAACACGTCTATTCATAGAGTTCAGTGACATAGAAAAAAAAGTGATCTGAGGTTGATTTTCATCATGGACTGTGACATAAGTTGAAAGCACATTGTAAGCTAAAATATTGAACAGATGTTTCAACCTAACTTAAGACAGTAGTGTGGAACGATGATCTTGAACACGATTGACCGAATTTTCATACTATTTTTATACTACTGAATTAAAACCAGTAAGGAGATTATATATTATCTTTGCATATATTTATAGCTAAAATGTTTTAAAAGTTTTCCTTAAGGATTAAGACATCTTTTCTCAGTAAAAACTAATCCACTCTAATTTTAGTCACGTTATTTTTGGTAGGCCAGCTAAAAACAACCCTGTATCTAATATCGATGATTGAAACTTTCAACGTGCTCTTGATTGGAAAACAAACATGATTTAATCCCAACTAAGCCGAAATTGAACATATGCAAATAAATAAAAATATACACATAAACATATTTGACATTACCTGAATACCATGAATTGTTCACCAGTCGCAGAACCAGAAGAAATCAAACGACGTTCTGTCACGATAGCACGCTAATGTATGTTATTTTATTTTAAAACCCAAAGGAAAAAACAAAGAGAAATGGATAGGAGACCTTAATTCATCACAGGTAAGAAAGATACATATATCGAACAGCAACCAGGTAAATAGAACTGTAATAGTGGGAATAAAAAATATTGTAGTCATGTGTTCAGTTTTTCCATTGTTGGCATTATGATTTGGATGTGATCAGTCTCTATTAACATATCTGCATCCAGAGCAGGTGGCATCGATATCTTCAATTACAAGTTGTAGCAAAGTTTGACCGTGCCCGGTAGCGTGGTCAGTAAAGCAAATTTAGTACTATTTAGGACTCGTCAACTGGATTCGGGTGCCTACGTGTTGGTGTTTATATTTTCACTCAAACCCAGTACCTATCACTGCAAACACGAAGTTATCCAGTAGATAGCGATAGATTTTCTGGAAAAACTATCGATACTGCTCAACTATCCGAATAATAAATAAGTGTAACAAAGTTTTAGTTGTCATTCTACAACTGACTGAAAGCCAAACGCTCTAACCATTACATCACTGTTTCATATTATTGTTAAAGTTGGTAATGTGGACATGAAAATGCTGGGATTTCCATGACACAAGAAAGAAGACAAAAATTGATGACAAATGAGGAATTTATTCACCCTTCAGGAAAAACACGACGATGCTTTGGCTAAAATACATTTAATTATACACTAATCTTAGAGAGATGATTAGTCACCAATAACCGAAATATGGGAAATACAAAATTAGATATCACAATGTTGCTAAAGTGAATGAGATTCACATCAAATAAATGTAAAATGATCCAATGCTAAACAAATACAACACCGAATTAGGACGTGATCTCATGACTATTATCTTTTTGAGAACTATTGATTTTATTGAAGCGACTATTGAAAACCAGAAAGCATTGGATCGTTGTTTCATCCAGTATAGAACTACTCATACGTGTAACTATCCACGACCCGTCACTGGAGATCCCAGAACTTTTAAGTATCATGAAGAGCACTTAGTCTTTAAATCACTAAGTTATCATCCGATAATTTACATTTCAAATTATTACTATTATTATCAAGTATAAACAATATTCACTTTTTCGCGATCGGATAAGGCTAAAAAACGTGCTTGTTCTTCAGCATCTTTCTTTTGTTGTTCAATAGCTGCACGTTCTGCAGTACGTTTTTCTTTTTGTCGTTGTTTTTGTCGTTTTGTGCGTTCACGATCACGTTCAAGTTTGGCAGCCTCTTTTGATGGATCCAATGGAGCAGGTATCTAAATATGGATTTAGAAAATATATTTTTAAAACTATTTTTTCGAAAAAAAAATTCAGATCTAACAAAACATGTGATTAACTTTTGTGCAGTGAAAAATACTGTGCAAAATAGAAGCTAAATGAAAAACTGTTTACATCTTGTTCCCAAAAAATCTTAAAATTGATTTAAATATGTATAACGCGTGATCATAAAATAAATGTTTGGAAAGGATTGCCCAAGACAGAGTTCTATGGAGAATGCTGGTGGGCGACCTATGCTCCTGCATAAGGGGTAACAAGCTTGGTGTATTTTAACGAATAATCGAAGGTGTTTGTGCAAAAAAATTATTCTAACACCCAATCTTAATTTACAACTCTGGTTCAAATCTTAATAGCTACAGCAATCCGGTTTTATTTTACTGAAGTAAATAATCTAACACATAAGGATTTCACTGATTGAAATCATGAGTCAATTGAAGCTAGACCACCACGGAAAACCTGGAAGCACTGGACGGCCGTTTTGTTCTGGTATGGGACTCCTCAGCAGTTCAACCAGGTCTGTTGTGAGATAGGAACTCACTGAAGACAATGGTGTACGGTGGCACAACTTCGTGGATTGGTTGAAGTTAAACATTAACACCGTTGGATGCCGGCTCAGTGGTCTAATGGTTAAGTGCTCGTGCGCGAAGCCAGTAGGTCCTGGGTTCGCGCCCCGCGTGGTGCGGGATCGTGGATGCGCACTGCTGAGGAGTCCCATACTAGGACGAAACGGCCGTCCAGTGCTTTCAGGTTTTCAATGGTGGTCTAGCTTCAACTGACTCATGATTTCAACCAGTGAAATTTCTAAATAAATCTCCACAAAACCCATTCTGACATAAGGATTTATTAATCATGTCAAAACTGTGTCCACTGTAAATCCAATAATTGTAATTGTTAATTGTTTTATAACCAAACACTGTTTTCTGAATGATTGATAAGTCATTAAGGATCGTCAGCATAGTTTAATTTTACCAATATATTCAACATTAAGATATCTATGATATGAACAATTGATAATTAAAACAATTAACATATCTAACTGTTGGGTATGTTTAGATGACCAAAATGATGTTCATGTACTAAATAGTTTGTTAGTTTCACGTTAGTGAGAATTAGAATTTTCTGTTCTTTTAAGCCGGAATCCTCTATGATAGTTATTCTTAATTTCTACTTCAAAGAAATAAACCCTTACTTCTTATAAATTCATTACACTCTTGATAGGCTAATTTTCTTCTACATCCAAGAATTTCGTAAATCTTTATAAATAAAATAGATAGTTGTTGAAGTGAATTAATATTCTTAGGTCTCTTTCAATAAATCTTCAGAATAAAATCTGTCTTTTCAATTACGCAGAGGTAGGAAGAAGACAAAGGGTATATCTGAGTAGAATCTAACAGTTTTTCACCTAACTGACAAATTGATTCATTTATCTGTCAGTCATAATCAATGTCATTAATGTAATATATATATGCCTTAGGATAATCTAACTTATTAACCAAGTAAAGGTGTTGTGTTGTGTTGTGTTGCACGCTACATAGGAGAATCAGTGACACTACCCAACTCCTTGAACCAAAGTAGGTGAGGCGGAGTTCGAGCATGTGACCTACGCTCGGATCGAAGTTAGGTGCTACAAATACTGAGTCATTACACTTGACAGCCTTAAAATAAATACTGAATAAAACATTTTTAATTATGCAGTACAAAAAATTCGTAAGTTAATAATTAGTATAAACAACTCACTTTAGCTTTTTCATAATCATAACGATTCGGATGATGAAATCGGAAACGTCGAAACACATTAGCTATTGATTTTTTATGCAATCGTGTAGCTAATTGATAAGGTGTTATACCATCCCCATCACTAAAATGATAATAAAAAATAATAATTTATAAATAGGATTCGCTTAATTTGTCTGTTCAGATATTTCAAAACTGACGTTTTGAGTAAAATCATTGCTTTTGTTTTTTTTTAAGTGTACAAGTTAAGGAAAGTAGAATCCAGACTAACAGTATGAGCAAGTATTAGAATATAATTAGTTGATTTCATTACTAATTCGTAAGTTATATCAATCGCAATTACAACGCAGTATTGAAGAATATATGTATATTATCAGTCAACAATTTATTAATAAGAGTAAACCTTTTCGGTAAAAGGTATATACTAGGGACAAGCAAACAGGAATCGAGAATCCGATGTTTAGGCTATTGCGCAAAATTCAAAAACTATGTATAGTGAGAAGTAAAAATACCTTCATAAACATAGAGTAAAAACGATAGCGCCAAATATATAAAACCCTTAATTTAGCCTCTTAAGATGGTACATAACAAGCTAACCGGCACTATTCCTGAATTCAAACCATAAACCCTTAATAATTAAGAAACCTTAACCTAGTGGCACTAAATTTTAGGGACAAAGTAGTCAGATAGAGTCTATATTTCCCCAATACACCACGTCCATGTGATGGGTTTGTGAGCCTTCGAGAGTGGATTTCTAATTCAGAGAGAGGTGGTCAGTGCATGACATGGTGTCGTGGCATGAAAGAAAGCTGCAAAGGACTGGCTTGTGTTGGTCCTTCACGACTCCCTGGCTGGGGTCCGAGAGATGGTGCTACACAGTGGCTAGAGACGTTATCAGATATGGCTCAGAATAGAAGCCAGTGGCGATCCTGCTGTAACCTTCTTTTACTTTCTTCATAAAAAGTGGTTGTGTCTCCTTTACCTGAAAGATTTCTTCTGATTGTACCTCTTCGTCATTACTCTCTTTTTCTTTTGCGTTCCTTAGTTTTTTTTTCTTTTTACTTCTCTTCGAATTCCCATTGTTTTGTGTGGCGCATATATATTGGCGCTCTCTTGTACCAATATTTATGTGTTCAAATAAATAAATAAATAAATAATTCAGATAACCCCATAGGGTTTTCCGAGTGGGGCTTCACCAACCTCGAATATCTGGAACAACGCAACACTCTTCCATTACAAACTATCCATTTATAAACGCTATTTTCTAAATGACTAGAAACTAGTTGGAAATTTGTCGAAATTCTTTTAAGCTCATCCGTATACTATATTTTTCATAACTTTTCAGTTACAAATATCTAAATATTATTACATATAAGCATCATTGAACATATTAACAGCTGACGACTAAAATTCTAAAGCATACCATTATTATCATTATGGAAAATAACATTTTATCACCATATAATTGAAGAGAAATTATGTCTACACTTATTGTCAGAGAAAAACTGTTGATAAAATTAGAAGTTAGTGAGTTATGTTTTTCCATTGTAGTGACAATGAAGAAGACAATATTAGTCTCTTAACTGTAAAATCAAGATGAATTCAAGTTAACAGATAAGATAAACATTTACTAGTAAAAAATTCACTTTAAAACAACCTGAGAATGTTAATCAAATTTATATATCTAACTATTGACAGTGTTTTAACTTTGATAGTAATAAATAGTATTAACACACACACACACACATACACGCAAACAAGAAGAACCAGAATTCCATTCAAGAATACAAAATACCAACTGATAAACACCAACTAAAATCGATACGACTTTCAATACATCGTTTATACCATTGCTATACTCGTAGTGATTTTATAACAATTCTAGAGAAGGCTGCGAAATTCAAAGTGAAGATAACATAGGTAGCATAAAACACGATGTAAACTACTATACAACATCAAATATCAAAGAATATAGTAATTAAGCTGTAAAATTTAATAAATAATTATATCATTAACAATGTTAACAAACATAATCAGAAGGTCAGCCATGTTAAATGATGTTATACAACAAGTAATAAATAAACGTTTTAAGGTGGTTGGTAAGTAAATATTCACAAGCGCTGTTATACAAAAACACCGAACCCACACGTTATCCCAAGTGTCAACCAGTCACTTATGATCAATGCATAATTTCATATTAATGTTGTATTACCCTCATACCGAACTGGTACAACAAAGTAAAATTAACAGGAACAAATGTAGAACAGTCAAAACAACACAACAATCATAATAACATTGAATAAATATTGAAAATATAGTTCGAGAACGTATCAAAACATATATACATTCGAATACTACTACTACTACTCAAGATCTAAAAGACAATAAAAAGTATACACATCACAGTCACCATGACAGATTCAAATCAATGTCACACAACATCTCCAACCATCCATCACTATATCCCCGTGCACTACAAACACACAGTCTGCAACATAACTCACACCAACAACCAATAATTACACGAACTGATACCATTTTATGGTTTGGCCTTCCATAGCTTACTTCAAATCATACCCTCCTCCACCCAACACCGCAGGTCAAGGGAGGTGGAGGTGGTGGTAAGGTATACGTCTCATGGTCTCAGGCTCAAACACCCCAGTCGATCAACATTCGCACTCTTATCAATAGATCTTTCGTGCTTAGCCCCCCTCCGCAGTATAATATCTCCAACCTCATCGACGATCACTCAGCAGTTCTACGGTACACCGGACAATCATTTGAAGAAACCTGTGAATAAAACGCTCTAGTCTATGGATTCCGACGATTTTCGCAAAACATGTTTAGTGACAATAAAGCAATACAGAGTAATGCCCATGCGATTTGATAGCCTTTTAAAAGGCAAATCTACATCTTGTTGGTTAAATTAACTTGCGCAAAAATAATCACTAATTAGTTTGAACAATTTTTACTATGAATACGGTTCTTTGTCAGCATATCGATTAAGGATAATGTAATAGCGTAATTTCAAACAAACTTGATACCGTGAGATTTTAAAGCCTTATGGAATGATTTCAGAAGTTTATTAAATACACCAAGAGATTTTTAATATACTACTATCTAACCCTGAGTATTTGTGCAGACGGAGAAGTATACCGGCTGTAAAAATAAATCTTGAGTAAATCCCCGTTAACATACCACTACCCTCTTCGAAACACTATCACAGATAAAGAATGTGGGCCATTAGTAACTGGTTACACAATATCATTGAAAAATCGAATAAATAAAGTAAAAATAACAAAACAGATTTTAAGAAAAGTTTCTAAATTACAGTTATGACCTTAAAGCAGCATATTATAGATGAAGTGAAAAATAATTCAAAATATATAACAAAAGGTATTATTGATAGAGATTAATTAGAGAATACATCTGTAACAATCAATTTACTGTTTAGGTGAGACAATCTATAACCTATAACAACAAATGTATTTGCAATACTTCAAAACATCATCAAATTATCGATACCTAACAATCATTCCTTAAACCTGACGTACTATCCTGGCTAGTGTAACAGTGGTATAGAGAAAACTAGCCAAACTGACACATAGAAATATATTTTTGACAGTTAACTTGAACTATGTGTAGAAGAGTAGGCTTCCAGGTTGAAATTAACAAAATAATCGTGATCAACAGTTCGAAAATATAAAATTACACATAACGGAATCGATGTATTTATTCTTCAACTTTCCTTTTAATTTTGAATATTATTTCATAATTTTTACTTATCAATTTCATTCCTTCACTAATTTTCGCAATGTGCAGTTTTAAATTTTACTATCATAAGTTGATCGAACTCGTTATTCACCTGACAAGTGGATATGATGTTGATGTCACAAAATCTTTCGAGACAATTAAAACATAAAGGAATTTGAATGTATCACACTTGATTGAAACGGTTGTCATAAAAATATTTAAATCAAATTTTCGCATCCAAAAAGACACGGTTATCAATCTTGCATTGTCAAAGGGACAGAGTTTTAATGAGCTTGTTATATAGGGAGTTTTTTCACGATCATTATTATAATTTCTTTATTTCTTCCTGCTTACTTGAGGTTTACTCAGCTAGTCGTCTTTTTTTAAGTACAACATAAATCACGAAATTATCCTTTGATTTCTAGGAATTCTGTCTTTATACCCTTCTCGATATTCTATTCGTATTATTTAACCTATGAATAGAAAACCATTTGAATGATTTTTATTCATTCCACTCAAAATTGTTTTTCATCAATCAATATCTACATGTTAAACGGAATCTCTGGTTACGACTTTTCAAAAAGAAGTTTTACGTACTTATTGTTTTTTTTTCTAGATTTATAGATTGTAAGCAGATGAAAAGAAATCATGAAATAAATGAACTCATGTATTATCCAGCTACGATTGTTGGTTCTTACTTTATTTAAATTAATACAAATTATTTAACAAATATAATTGCTTATGTATTCGATTTTGATACATTTAACTGTGAGTAACACTATCTGGTTCTGACACATCTATGTGTATCTAAGAATTCAGCTGCTCCTGTGGAGAAAGCTATATTGGGCGCACTAGCAGACAACTGAGACAAGTTAGTGATTACTTCACTTCGTGGTTAGGAAAAGGTTTCGTCAAGACAGCTCGATTCTACCACATTTGATCGATAGCGGCCATGTAGCAGACTGAAATAGCTCATTTAAAGTGAATTATCTTATTCCTACTAGTTTTTCTTATGGGGTTCGATTTCATCTCTTAAACATAGTAGAATCCATAGGAATTCGAGCTAACAATCCAAGTCTTTGAGTGCATAAGGAATTTGTAACACCTGATCTTGTTGGTCTAAATATGCCAGAAAAACTTGGAATAATTGATTTAGCCATTATTTATAATTATTTGCCATACTCTTTCTTAGATGGTGGTTGGAGGTAGTCAACAGGAAACCCTGGACCCGGGTTTCGTGCTACTTGGCACTCGTCATTAAGGTGTACTTGCACTAAATAAGGACTTGACAGACATGACATTGATCATCACCCAGTGGTCAATCAATTGTGATTACATCTCAGTCCTACAGGAGGTCCGTCGCGGCTCGGATAGCTCAGTGGTAACGTCTCTGACTCTGAAGCTGGGTGACACGAGATCGAATTCGCCAGCGAGCACCAGTTCCCTCAAGGTTACAGGTACACCTTGCTGACGAGTGCCAAGTAGCACGAAACCCGGGTCCAGGGTTTCCTGTTGACTACTTCCAACCACCATCTAATCTCAATACATGGTTCCCGCAGTGTCGAGTCACCTAGACTGGTGGCCACATTGCAACATGATCGATAGCATTCGATCTGCACTAATAAGGACTAGACAAGCATGACATTGATCACCACCCAGTGATCAATCAATTGTGATACTCTTTCTTCGTTTATTTTTCTTCATGCCCTCCCACCCATTTTTATCCAAACACACGCTTCATTGCCCAATTGTCTGAACATGTCTTATTACATAAACTTACAGTTTTTATGAATGTTATCTCAGCATGTATGGGAATTAGTCCCACTATGAAACATGGATATAAGTCTTGATTATGCTTATCACAACTATTACATCTGTCATCACACCATTTATATGTACTTTTTACTTATTATCTTTATCCATGTAGTCTACTGTTATCACTGAATTATGAACTGCCTTGATTGGTTTGGTAATTTTGTATATCAGAAGGGGTTTGTGGAGATTTATTTAGAAATTTCACTGGTTGAAATCATGAGTCAGTTGAAGCTAGACCACCATTGAAAACCTGAAAGCACTGGACGGCCGTTTCGTCCTAGTATGGGACTCCTCAGCAGTGCGCATCCACGATCCCGCACCACGCGGGGCGCGAACCCAGGACCTACTGGCTTCGCGCACGAGCACTTAACCATTAGACCACTGAGCATATGAATATTACTGTATATTAAAGCCTGATGGGGATCTAATCAAAAGCAATATTGCTCGCTTATATATGTTGTTCTAATTCACAATATGGGTTTTTTTTAATTATTCGATTACTGACCAAAATGAACTATTTGAAATAGAAATTTAAACCAGCAAGCTGGAACTCTACGATGTATATGAAAGAAATCATCATTATAGCATTGAAATCAAACTTTCCCAATTTAGAACAAAGAAAAAGTTTCAACAAATCAATAAGCTAACAAAATGATTACACAGAAATATAAATTAATACATTTTATGTATGTATAACTTAAAATAATATTCTACACTGACCTAAATGCTGGATCACATCCACATTCAAGTAATAAACGAATTAGTTCAGGGTCACTTTGAAATTCTACAGCTACATGCAAAAGTCTTCGTCCATCAGTTAATGGATGATTAATTAATTTTAAACAAACACGATATGGTGGTACAGTTGATGATCCAGGTGAAGTATACTCTATTGCATAAATAACGATATGGAAATATTTAATACATCTCAAAAGCAAATAAACACTTAATTTCAGTCAGTCATTTTAAAAATAAATAAACGTGTTTTTGTGTGTATAGGTGTGTTAATGTCTCTTTTTCGCTCTATTTACCTAACAGATGAAATGTTACTTCTTATATACGAACAAAGAATAAATGAATGGCAACTGCTAGGAGTAATTTATGGAATGTTATATATACTGAACGGGCTGGATTAGGAGAGAAACTACTATACGTAGGACCAATAAGGACTCAGAGTTGACTCAAGGCTGCTCGTGCTGGTTGACGCACCACTGGTTTAGCAAGGTAACAGAAGTCGGTATTCTGACTGGCGATTTTGTCACATGATATTTGACTCGATATTTTATTTCATAAAATTATAATTTAAACCCTATTGTAAAGAGAATACAATGTACTAATCATACATTCTAAAACATAAACATATAAATTTCTATTTCTTATTAGTTATTCGAAATAATAGAATATCGCTTTTTTAGTGTTATAAATAAGATAAACTCTTAGATGAAATATAAGCAATAATATTCCTACAAAAACAGCACAAAACAAAAGTTGAACAATTTGATCTATCTAAAATACTAGTATAACATGAATCAAAAGACAATTCGTTGTTAACTTAAACTAGATATCACCCAAATTGAAACTTATAAGTTAACACCGTCGCCACCGTTATAACTTGTTCATTGCTATACAATTCAGAAATATCAACGTAACGGTGACTGCAAAGCAAAGGCTCGTCAACACAACTCCAAACTCTTGACACATTTCCCAACGATTAAGAAGCAGTGATTATTAATTACATTAAAACAATTATTACTTGGAACGAACTTCACACCGTCAAAACTGAATGAATAATTATTAGAATACAGTAGGATAACACCGAAATAGTTCACAGCTTAATTTGTCGAAATACAAACGAATATTAAACTCAACGTTCACCATATTAAACTAATCAATAATCTTACTCTTCATCGCTTCTTATCATTTTTTATGTTAAAGATTGACAGCAGTTGGAGTACTATTGAAAAGCTTGGAGCATTGAACAGCTGGTTCATCTTGATGCATGAAAATCCTCAGCAATGAGTATACATGACTCTACCAGGGATCGGAAGCGACGGAGTTTCAAGTCACATAAATGAATCGATAATGACACTTTGTGATCATATGGTAATAATTGAGTCCTAATCAACGCCATTTTTTTAAATGCCCTACCATCGGTTCGATATTTATTCTATGTGCCAGCTTTCTTTCCTACTTCCAAAGACATTGTAGATACATTTGTATACTGAATAGCTTCTTGCCGATTTCAGCATTATTCGGTCGCTCTCAATAAATAATCCCTGAGAGTTCTGCCTTATCTGATTAACCGTGATTAGAAAAAAAAAAACAGAATTGCGATATCCAGTGTATCCAAATCAGAGCTGAGAGTCCACAATACTGGGGACAAATAATATCATCTACACACTGATAAATTTAAAAAACCTGAAAATGTTAAGTAATCATCTTAAAATTTTACACCAACCAGTAGGGGATGTATTAGTGGTGGTCAGCATATTAGTCGTAGTAACAGCAGTAGTGGTAGTAGTATTCAAAGAAGCAGTTGAATTATGAACTGTTTCCCCCAATTCATTCAAATTATCTCTTTGAGTTATATTGGAAATATCCATTGGTAATAAAGATCGCAAAATAACCAAATCTCCAGAAGCAATTGCTACACGTAAACGTCTATGCCAACTTTGATAGGTGAAATATAAATCTGTGTAATATTTTTAATTATAGTAAAAAAGAAAATCTCATTAGCAATTTATTACACAAAACAAGAAAAGAGTGGGGAAAAAGACTCAAACTAAGCGTTCATATTATGTTAAAATGAAATAATACATGAATAATAATTGAGGCGTGCACCATTGCGTGAATAGTGACTACTGGATATCACTCATAACAAAAGTGTTATTTCGCAAATATCCAATGAATTTTTAAGCTCTATCTACATTAGATTCAAGTAATTATCAATACGTTAGATAACTAGAAAGGTTATAAATTCAATCTTCTCACATTGTCCAATTGTGAGGATTTCGCTTGTAGTGAAGTATTGTGACTCTTATGATACATTCGGATTACAAACTTTATAAAATAAACAATTGCATCGTGAAATGATATGGTACACTATTGTGTGACCTTAACATGTTTCATTGTAACGATATTTGTTATATTGTATATCCCCATATGTGTGCGGCTATTTACATATCTACTATTTTTTATCCATCCTCTTATTTGCTGTAGACGCAGTCGGTTAATAATTTGCTACTTATGTTCACATTTATAGAGATATTCAAAACAAAATCAATTCATTCACATTCCTTTCCTGTGTCTGATTTGATTGCTAAGGCGTGATCTGTTGAGTTAATTTGCTCCTAATAAAAATTGACTTCCATCCAACGTGTATTCGATTGCTTGATTGCTCGAGTAGAAATGAATTTAACCGTACTCGAAGAATTAACCAGTGGAATATATACGAATATATAAGATCGATTATACTTAAAGTAGGAAACAAGTATTCCAACACGATTTATGCCTACCACTTTAAGCAATAACACAAATGATTACCAACAATACTCGGATATCTTAACGCCTGCTGGTTTGCGTAGATTATATTCCCAAAGCGCAATTAGAACACGAAGATGGTCAATCAATTCAGGTCCTATTATTGTATCGTGCCATGATTCAGAAGCGCACAGGTTAATATGCATCAATTATACGGTAACAACGCATCACTTTTTTAATTAACTCATTCACCAGATACCTGGTAAGAGCCATACTCTAAATGTGAGGGCTAATGATACTACCCGGTTGACCAGACCAAAGTAGATATATGACTAGGTGGTCCTACATGATACAAAGCCGAATAATAGATACATAATGAACTAATAATAATACAAAAACAGTTTATGAATGAAATGGAAGCTTACAATATGAGTGTTATAAAATATCATAATCGAATATCTAATAAATACACAGTAAAAATATGCCGAACTATTCCTCCTCAAGGGTTACTGAGGATCCCGAGTTCGAACAAAGGGGAAGGCTTGGATTATGGTTAATAACCCTAACTCGTAGAAAAGAACCGCAATACAAAAACGCTAACCAGATAAAGCCAACTTAACAAGCAAAAATCTGCTCTGGGAATTGAAGGGTCTTCACATACAAAAGTTATGACGCTTCATTAGGAGAGCTGCGAACCTCTGGAAACCACGTGTCCAGAACCCCCTCTTACAAACCAAGGCAACAATAAATATAGGGAAATGAAATGTCCGGATGTGAGAAACCAGGAAATTCACTCGAATATCGACAGAAACGAGAAGATACAACCAAGCTCTATTTGGAATAAATGAAACTCGTTAAACACAATCTGGACAGAAAAAAACTAACTTCAGGAAAAATATCGTTGTATTCAAGTCACGAGGAAGAAATTGCTTCATACACAGGAATTCGCACTGATTCTGCCCGGAAAAGTACAAAAAGTGCCTATAGGATGGGGAATCCAGTGCTCCACGGTTGCCATAATATCCTTCAAAAGAAAGAAGGGAAAGGTTACAATGAATGTTATTCATTGATACACACCCACCGACGATGGTAGTGAAGATGATAAAGACTACACACTGGATTTTAATGATCCTTCGGTTGATATCGAACCAAATAAAACAATTTGCTTCAGTGAGAAAATATTACGCATATAATCTCAAAGACACATTACGTAAACAGTCGAAACAAACCTTCGAAATTATCAGTCACTGCTTTGACATCATTACTTTCGGAATCGTTGGAAGTCGAAAGCAATGAAGATTGACTGTTTGGCTTCGTCTTCCTGACAGTTTCTGTGGTTTTCCTAATATTATTTTCCGAGTTCATAATCTGCTCCACTCGATCATCATTGCTATCATCATCAGTATCGTCTTGTGAACTGACACAATCTGACAAATCAGAATTATCTGAACTTGATGACAATAAATTCTTTTTAGGACTAGTTTCTAGTAGGCTAAGTGGACCTAAAAAATAAAGTGATGAAAACAGGAGAAATAAGGCTATAATTAAAGAACTAAACATACACAAGAAATAATTATCTTTTCTAAATGATATTCATGACCCATCCTAATAAAAACAAGATGTTTATTTGACAATATTGGTGTTGTCCGCCATGAAATTTTAACGAAGAGTAAATAGTTGACACCGCCTTTTATGTGGAGGTCTCTAAAGGTTTATGAGTTAGCAGGTGATGTTAATGGATGCTTGCAACATCACAACAATGTTTTAACCAGTAAATTGATCACTATGATAGATTGCACTCCTATCTTCCCCAGAACTACTCACTACCGAGATATTTTGTCCCACTGAAGTTCGAAAATCACAGAGAGGCGTTACAGAGACGATGTGGAGATCTTATATATATATATATGGGAAAAGTCTATTACAACAAAATGGGAGTAAACAGAAAACTCCGCCTCCAATTGAAATCTTATAATGAGTTCTATAGACAAACTGGCAGCGTAGCGATAAGGTCACCCACTTGGTCCACTCCTACTTGACTATTTCATTGGCGATCTCGAAAACACTATACATAGACCAGCGATTGACAGATCCTACATATAAATAGATAGTTAGATTATACATTCATCATTTGTGACGAAATATCAACTTCAACAACATACTGACATTAATCGATTAAGTTCAAGATGGAATCTCAGTTGGATTCAGAACTTTACTTCCTAGATAACATTTTTTTAAAAGGAGAGCTAATGATTGTCTAAAAAGCTCGATATACAGAAAGCCAACCTGGAATGTTCAGTACGCGAACTTTCAAAGCTTGTTCCCACCGAAGCATAAATGAAACCCGATTCACTCTCTATGGACGAAGCTTATCACTTAAGAGTTTTCATATTATTCAACACCGTGTTATTCTATTATAGGCTGGTACTGTTAGCAGACAAATTAACTATAAGTACGATTGTATAGCTTATGTAAATGAAATCGTCGAAAAAAAATTCTTCCTTCACAAAAAATTGTATTCATCCTTTTTCAACGACATAATGAGCCTCTTTCGTTAAATTGGGAGTTTACCAAATGAGGATGGGAGTGATGCAACTTTACAGTTTATAAAATAAAGTTTTTATGGTCTGTTTGGCTTTTTATCGGATAAACTAGTAATTATTTACAAATTCGACTGTCGATTTTTAAGTAGCAAGGTAAAAACTTCAGTTAAACAATAAGTTTGAAAATTTATAAATCGGCAGGTAATAAGTGAATTCTACTGTCAAAAGAAATTAAGATCACAAAAATAACCCCCAATTTGGTTTTCAGTTGGCTTAAGCTATACTAGTTTGATGAAATCCCTGACTAATATGATAATATCCATTTCATTCAATCTTGGAGCAAAACCAACGACCTGTTTTGAAATTCCGTACTGCTGTCAGATGTGTAGACAGAGACTACCCGTAGACGTAAAAACAAAAAACGATACGTCATGTGATAATGTACTTTATACATATCTTCTTTTACACCATTAGGTATAGCTGTGTGAGAAAAACAGTAAGTTTTCCCAAAAATAAATCTAAATGTCGTCTCCCACAATATTTTTTTAGTCAAATACCTAACAAACCAGAACCGACTATATAATTGAAATAAAGAATTTGTAGATTGCTCAATATAAAGTTAATTTTCAACACAATCGACATTAACTAAAAACCGTGTTTCGACATCATTCGGAGATCGAAGTAAGAGTTTTATGTCATTGAGTACGATACATTTAAACTACTGGGAAATTTTGAACCGGGACAAAAGGTATCCAGTAGTTCTGTTTTTCAACCCCGCTTTAGATGGTGTCAGTTCATGGTGAAAATTAAAGTTATTTGATAGTTACTTTAGTAATATAAGAATCAGAAACACTCATAGGACTGAACGGAAAAACATGAGAGCAAGTACGCTCATGAGCTGGATCCAAACAGAAAAATAATGCATTTTTAACAGTAAAAAATTGATTCCTTTTTCGTATTTTTAGGTGTTCTCTTGTGATTTAAATAAATCCCTTTTTAAGTATAACATGTGTTTTGTATGTGGTTTTATTTCCATTTGGTAAATTAACTAGTTTAAGTGGCGACAATGATCCCAAAAGACAAAAACTGAAATTTTTGATCTAGTTTAAGGCTTTTTTGCCACGTACTTTAGCTTTTATTAAGTTAAAATTGGTTTCGTTATTGGAGTGATATGCACTGGAAAACTATTAAGAGAAGAGAAGTACTGAGAGGCTGTCTCATCCTGACCAAATGCCACGCCATTATTGTTCGTGCACGACCACATTCACACACACATGAGATCGAACTCATGACCTTCAGGTCTCGCCGAGACCGCATCGCCTTCAAACTACTAAATTGGAGTCACTTGGTCTTATTACAATTTTTGCAATATTAGAGTCGAAATTAAAGATCAGTAGATGGAATATTTCTTTAATATGAAGACGAATCTAATGAAACTAGATATACTAAATGACTAATATACAACGAAGACAGTCGTACATGCATAAGGAAAGAGAGAATACAGGACCTTCAAGAAAAGACAATTATATGAATGAACATCACAGTATATATAGCATTTTACGAGGCAAAGTGACTAATAAGAATAGATGTGAATTACGTAGTATTTCTACATTACAAGGGTTATAATGTTACTGAGATGTGAAAAGGATGAAACAATATTGTTGTGGCGATTCCAACTGATTACAATAATATCAGTTTCAGTGAAGCCCAATAGATCTATATTTTAAAACTCAACAAGCTTGTGATTACGACATACATTATCCAGTACTAATGGTGGGTAAAGATGAGTCACTATCGGTATGGTTGGGTTTTATCAGTTACAACTTCTTATAAGAAATTCAAGAACTCATTAGAAAATCAATCACTAGTGAGCAACAAAAAATAAACGTTTGGTTGAAAATTTTGTTGAGATTAGCTTAATATGAGATCATTTTTCATCGTGAATTATAGTTCAGCTTGGAAAAAGCAATAAAATTATTTTAATGAAGCAGAAATTTAGAACTATTAGACAGTGTTCATATATGTCGACGAAATGATGATAACGTAATCGATGATGAACAGTTCGGCGAGACTATAATTAATACATGAACTTCAAGAAACTCCAGAGTGACCTGGAGAAAATTCGCCTACTTACTAGGGTCGAAAGAGGTTTACAAATCAGTGTGAGAAATTAAAATTAAGATTTAGAGTTGGAAGTTAAAGTTAGGGATAAGGGATAAAAGTTTTTATAACGAACTGGCATCAGATATAATGCTGAATTGCTATTTAATCATATGGATGAATGAATTTGGCGCCGACAACCAGGACTAACTACCTTTAATTTCATTGATTCGTCCATGAATTATAGTCTCGCCAACAGTCCAACCTTCAGATTTTCATTACAATTGTACATTTAAACAGAGAATTAGAAAATGAAACAGATGAATTCCAGATTATGTCAATTTATCTCTAGTTGATTAAGACATAACACGCCTCGATATATTATTGTTCTTTCTTAACCTAATTGAATAAATGTATGAATTATTTATAATTTTGTGATCGACTCAAGCATTTTCTAATATCACACGATTGTTTCTAATTATATAAATAAACGTTAGTTTATGAAAATGAACAGTGTTTCAAAATCCTGGCTAATATAGTTTGAAATTAACCACAATATTACAAAGATACGCATTAATTCAGAATAACTCTTCTTCGAAATCACAAACCACTTCGTATGATTATCACCATTATTATTATTATTATTATTATTATTATTATTATTATTATTATTATTATTATTATTATTATTATTATTAATCCAGTAATTGTCGGTAATAGTATAAAAATAAGCTGCAACTTAAGTTATAAGGAACAATTAGTATAACTGATAAACATCTACTCATTAGTAATATCTACAGAAAGAAAATGCTTACCGTAAATTAATCGACCACTTTTAGTTTCTAACAAAGTTTCATCACCGCTTTCAGATAATTTGCGCCATTGATTTCGACCTGATTTACTGAGAAACTCCAGATTAGCATCAGGATCTGTTCAAAAAGTGCAGTAAAAGAACAAGATAATGATGGTGAGAACAGGGAACAAGTAAAAAGTCGTATTTTATTCTTTATTACTTACGCTACAGATAAAAAGTTTATTTCGATGAGTAGAAACAAAGAATGTGACACGGTTACGTAACTGGGGCCTGAAGCCAAACTATTAATGATAACAAATAGCTAGCTGTCCGAGGAGAAATAGGTAGATGGGGGTTTGAATATGTGACCTATTGATTAAAAGTCTAATGGTCTAATCATTAAATCAATTACTCAGTATAGATCTTCTTAAAACTTAATCGTTCAATATTCATTCTTTTTATGACTAACAAATAATTATCCACAGTTAATTCACAACAAACTGACTCCAAAACACCAAGCACTAGTAAAAATATTCTTTAGAGACACTAATCGATACTGATAAACCGGATAAAATAAGTCTAAAATATGCAATCCAGTGGGTTGAACCCAGCAAGTGACACCTTGACAGTAGTAGGCAAAATATGTTTAATGTGTCCGATGGAATTATAGTTATAATTCAGCAGAAGAATTCAGTTATGATAATGAAGTTATCTTGATAATACACAATCCTTATCGACGCTTGTCTTTTTGCCTACATATCCGTTAAAAACAATTACAATTCCACAAAGTCATCTATACTACATCATACACTCAGACAACAATTGATTAACATACTCCTACTTATTAAAACAATATTGGACAACTTACTGGTTGAAAATAAGACAGAGCAGAATTATTACATTTATTATTGACGTAGACAATAAATAGTTGTTATAACTTTATAACTTATCAGATAATTCTTTGATATTTGAATCAACGAGTATCCTATCTGACCATATTATCCAAACGCAAACACTACAATATGTGAATGTTCAGCTAAACAGTCGTAAAATGAATGAGATGAACGAGCTGAATGGCATCATATACTATCACCAAATAAAGTTATGGTCTTATTATAATAGAAACCGAACAAAAAACCTAATGTGTCAACAGTGGTTGATCAATCCAATTTAATAAGTTGATCATGTAAAATACTAAACTCAAATAAAATAAAGTTGTCGGGGATAAAACAAATTGTTTCGTGTATCTTACCATAAACATCAAAAGTTGACAATTCTTTGTGTAATTCTTTTACGTGTAAATATGTGATATGTTTACTACGACAAGGTATTCTGCGTAATCTTGGATCATCTATTGTCATTCCAAGTCGACAGTCACAAGCTTTTGAAGCTAATGAATCTGGGACAAGAGGTGAGGAAATTCGATAACTGGAATTAATCGAAGAATAGTCAGTTGATTCATTCAAATTATCACCGGTAAATTTATGATTAGATGGCACAGATGAGGATGATACAGGTGGATTAAAAAATATACTTCGATGTACTTTGGGAGACCACAAAAATATCAGCTGGCAAGATTGTAACAGAACACGCCATTTGTTATGTAAAAGATCACTTATTTCCTAAAAAAATTTAGAAGAAAATCTTAGAAAGGAACTAATAACCAGGAGAAATGAAAAGAGCATCCAATGATTCACTGACACACGATAACTTAGTAGTATAAAGGTGATACGTTCACAGCTGGATCTGAGGATTTCAGATTCGGCCTTAATTGGAGTCAAAGATGCGTACCTCAGATGAGTCCCTCACTAGAACATAAAAGCTTTTCAGTAATCCCTTGTTTTGAACGGCTGTCTCTAGCTAAAGTCAATCTATGATTTAAGCTATCTTAAAATGGATTGAATTGAACAAAGCAGCTATTCAGTAGCAATGCTCATTTACGATCCCACACGGGATCGAACCCAAAACCTTAAGGTGTCATAGTGAGTACAAATTCTCCAATCAGTTTAAATCAATTCGCAACATGGTGCAGTCATCTACCGTTACCGGTAGCGGGTAACTGCTTCACATCCGATATGATTGAACCCCACTGGTCACGGTTTCTCACTGGAACTGAGATTATATGTCTCACTAATTTATCATGATTTGAATTTTTTATGCAACTCAACAATCAAGTACAGGCTAATGTAATTAGCTTTAAGTCACACATAGTGTAAGGGAAAGTGACGCTACATGTAGTCACCTGAACTGAGTTAGATGCATCTACAACTCATGGGTTTAAATCCAAGTCTTCTAACCAATAGGCGATTGCGTCTTGTTATTATCATATGATTTCAATGCTGATTTTCTCGCTTCAGTCAATATACCTGACTGACCAAGTAAAAAGACCAAAGCACTCAACATAAACTTCTTCAGATACAAGCCAGTTCTTTGCTATCTTCCTTTACTTTGTAAGCGGTAACAACAGATTATTGTATGCTATCTCAATAACTTGACAAGTTCGTAATCGTGTAATTATATCGAAATCATCATAATCACTAGGAAATGGGTATGTAAAACAGTGACGCAATAGTAATTATTAATGATAATTACATTACGAATAGTTGCTTCACCATGACGTCGAAGATTAGCACCAGCTGATTTCACTCCGCCAAGACCACCACATTGTGAATCATAAGATGATTGACCACCACCTTGTTTAGCGCGTACTGTATAGTTGCGCAAAGTTTTATGAACAATCTCGTTTGTTCTTTGAAAGTGAAAAAAATATAATGACAAACATATTCGGAATAGTACTGATTGGTGAAAATTAATTGATTTACTTTTACTCTATAACATTAATTTGGGTTCAAGAAAACTTTAAGCCTGCATGCAATGATAAAAACTTAAAACGCGTGAAATTTCATGGGCATTCCGATTACCAATTCACTGACTAGATGATCAGATAAATTTCCGAAAATCGTCTGTATACACAGTTTTAGCAGAACACTTGAGGCTATAATCTAAAATTGTTTCATAATTGATGGCACCAATAAAAAAGCTATAAGAACAGGATCATGGTTGTGTATGATACTGAGTTGAAGTCACAGAGCAACAATTTTTCTAAATACATGGAACGTCCTGGCAATGTAGGATACTGAGAGGACCAATCAAATAGCTACAAAATGAGGAAATACAACTTGGTGATTCTCAGAATAAGTGAAACTCATTGAATCCAAGTTGGACAGAAAATATTAGATTCGAGAGATTCTATTCTACTCTGGTCTTGAGGAAGAAAATGCTCTGCACACTCAGAGAGTTGCACTAATGCTGTCCAAAGGAGCATAAAAAACGCTCATAGGATGGAAATCTAATGGATCTGGGACCATCAAAACGTCCTTCAAAACGGAGAATGTTACTAAATATTATGCACCCATCAATGATAGCAATGACGACGATAATGATCAGTTTTACGAGAAGCTACAATCGATCATAGCGAATCTGTTGTAGAAACAATGTGGACCCTTTTCAAAGATAGGTACAACTATCGACTAATTTCATGATATTAGAACACTCTCTAATTGCAAAACCTTTGTAAACAACTCAGTCAGTTCCCTAACCAGAAAGTCGCTACTATCTTTAAAAAGAGCCAGAAGTAAGTCATCTGGACCTGGTGATTTGTGGCGCTACAGGAGTTGGAGTTCCTTGCGGTCACCCGGGGTAGACCGACGTGCTTCAATGAAGTGTAAAAAGCCTGGAGAAATTCAATGCTTATAAGCGGGACGTTTTACGAAGCCACAAGCGACTTCACTCACTATTTCCGTGGCGTCATGCAATTGCAGCCAATGTTCATCCATACTTTTCGGTGGGCTGATAGCTAGCTGATGATCGCATTCTAGATAACACAGATACTATCTTCAATACATAGCCCGTTATACAATCAACGAACCTTCGTAGAAAACGCACGGTGAAGTACAAACGTCAAGGTTTTTATTTAAACTGTGGCAGATGTATTTGTACAGAAAAGCAATTGCTTCGTACATAATTGGGAACTTAATTACTATGCATTGCCTCTACATCCCCCTACGGCGTCCTCCTTTCTTCATGCGCCTGTTTATTTGCAGCTAATAGTGCGTTTTAGACAGATCACGGAATTTATGATATACACAACATTGAGTACTGCTGCTCACTCCAATTACCTATAAAATATAGTAACTGGTGCGCATACTACTAGCATTGTAAGGAAACTGGATAATGGAACGATGATGCAATTTTTTATAAACGACATATAAAACTGTAAAAGATAAATATAACTGCAGCTTTTTAAAGTTCTCCCAAATTCTGTTTAAAAAACCAACCTCAAGGTAACTTACCCATCAAAAATGCCACCAGCGAATTTACCTCCAGAATAAAGAAGAATAGCCCATTTCCGACTTTGTCGAACACGCGAAACAGATCCCAGCAACTCATCCATTGTTAAAGGCATAGTCTGAATGTAATGAGAAACAACACCAAGCTAAAATACTGTGAACTGCTTCAGTTATCTAAGATCAAGTGCTAAACCTGCTCCACAGATTTATTGATAAAGGAAGTTGCATTCAGTCATACTGTAACTAATAAAATTGAAAGGTATATTACTAAAGATAAGTGTCGGACGTGTAGTAGCGATTTGTCATTATCTAGATTTGGTTCTTAATGAAATGGACAGCGTACTCCATTTCGATATTGTAGTAACTTGCCCTTTCGTTTAGGCCCGTTAGTAACACTTGTGTCTAAATGTACGTAGGTGCCTATTTAAAATTATTAAGACTATCGCAAATCTCATTTATACGCATTTACACTACGAGAAACGCGAGAGAATAAAGTATATTGTTATGAAAAATGCAATTTTATCCTAATTTTGATTACTGGCACGATTGGTTCAATTGCCCCTAAATGCCCTGGTACGACCGAGGGTGGACAGAGTCAGCTCTATCTCTCGAAATGTTCTCACATGGCCATGAGTATACAGCCACTGACAGGGAAGTCCCACTCACTGCCTTCTTGCGACAAGGGTGTTTTTTAGGAAATTGAGAACGAAAAACGAATGTCCGGAGCTTTGACCGAGTTGGTGGATATGGAGGATCTACCTAGGACAGTTGGAAAATCCTGATTTCAAACCAATGGTGTACATGGGCTCCAGGACTTTGAAGGAACAAATGGTGTATGATCCTACTGCTGGTTACCGGCTACCACAAGACTGCATCTCCTAAAGTTGTTCCACTGGCTTGTGGATTAGACCTTCAGTTCAAAGGCTCGGGGTATGACTCCTTAAGGAAACCACCTGCTTTGGTTTGAGCGACCAAGCAGTATTCTAGCCCTCACAAAAATCGAATGACAAAGTGTGACGCATATTTGGTGCTTCCTTGTAATAACGTTTATGTGTTTAAATAAATAAATTGGTTTTGTGGCTGTAATATCAACTTCCGAATCGCTGCACAATTACGTATTGCAAATGTGTCTAAGTATATATATACCATACCGAATAAAGTTAACATCATTATTATTCTGAAAACTGTTTACCTTCCTAGTAAATAGAACACAACGATTTATTCCAACTATTTCTGAATTATAATTTCGGAAAAATAACATCTGCTTATGTGACGATGCAGTAAGTGACGAATTAGTAACTGTTTTAGATGATGTACCATGATCACAGTCATTGTTGTCAATATTTGGTCCTATAGTTGCTGACAGTGAATTAATTGGACTCATTCCAACTTGATCGATGGTATTTATTTCCGAAACATTTTCTATTTTCTCTTGTCTTAAAGTTTCGAATAGATCAAAATTTAGTGGACAATAACCACGTAAGGATCGATTTATATTGCAGATATGCCATTCACTTTTGAAGTGTTCCCGCTGGAGTGAAAAAATAATCGTTAGCATAGAACATTTTTGGTGAAAGATACCATATCTACTGCATTATCCATCTTCAACTGACATATATTACAATGAAACTTCTGAAGGGAAGAAATGTAATTTTTCGTTGGAGGATTTGTTGTTTTCGCATCTGTTACGTGTCAATATGATTGTATCAATTTACCTGTATTTTCAGAACAATGGTTGCTGAACGTCTCTCCAACTAAAACAAGACCAGTTAACTTTTCGACGGCTATTTTTTGGTCGAAAAACTGGTAACGATCGCACGTACGTTTGCATTGACGACTGATAAGACCAACATTTGACGACATCACGATGTATGCCAGACAAATTTTCTGGAATACGGATAGAAAAAAGACTAATCATTACAGCTAAAGAGTCTATTTAATTTCATCCGTGAAAAATAACATCCCTTGCTGTTGGTCGCTAATTAAGAAGCTGACGTATAAATCTCTTTAGATACACCGGTTCACATTATTTAGGTAAGACATTTGGATATGATCCTACAAAATAATCAACCAGTCATTGGCTATATACAATTCACCTGTTTGGTTTGTACGATGCTGAAATCGCCGGCACCAAAAAGTGAGAAATTTAAATAAATACCCTTAACTTATTATTCTATTAAATAATTAAAATTTGCCGTAAAAAACGGTTTGGTCTACATTTCTATGTGTGAGGAAAGCGCCCTAAAGTAAACCTATAATTTTCCCACAAAAGGAAACATACTGTCTCTGAGTAACAGAACAATAATACGGCCAATTTTATTTCATGAAAGTCGAAGATGAAGCCACAAATGAAGGTAGACAAGACTCAAATTTTAGATGTAACGAGTGACAGAAACATCCCTTAATACTACTCAAGACATTTAAGACAACTGAGAAAAATATTGCTTGCCACCAAAGTAAAAATAATGAACGTGCAATATAGTTTGTAGATCGGATATAATCGTCGAACCGAAACCAACTGAACTGTGATTCTCAGCCTTTAATGCCGAAATAAACACTGACCTAGTATCACTCTGTTTCACGGACAAACTAGAAGGATAGCTCCTCTTGCTTTTAACTCTACATTTACGCATCCGTTTGACTACAGAGCAACTTCGTATTGCAGTTAATCAAAAATACTTAACCCTATGCCCTTGACTTTTGTCCTAATTACTCGGCATCAGATAAGGATAATGCAAGGACTGTCGAAAATCTTTTCGAGTACATTTAAGGTTAGAAAAATTATAGTCTCACCTCTATATATCCATACAGACGAGTTATCGCCGTTTATAGGCAGACTAACCTGTTGGATTTTGTTACGTTTGTCAAAAACATGAAATCTGCCCACTCTAATATCATTACTCCCTTTTATACAAATTATCTACTACAAAAGGCTGGTTAAGAGCTATGGCTCTTTCAGATATATATGAATATTTGTTCCGGTTGTTTTGTTTATCTCTATACTAGACTCGTTCGGCTCCCAGTCATAAATTTTGTGATTTTCAACTTTGGTTTTGGATTTGAAATAAAAATTGCATAAAGCATTCCAATAAGCATACTGAGCATAGGGAGTATCAACTGACCTTCACCCCAGTGCAAAGTAACGCAAGATTTTGATAGTAGAACCATGAGATGTTCACTAAACAATGTGTCCAATCCTATTCGATTGGATTGAACAGGTAGCTATCTGAACTCAGTACTTGATTGGATAAAGAGGTGAAGTTTGAGGCAAACAGTACTGGGTTCAAGTCTTGAAGTTCATATCATCTCTGAGATGCAGATATATCCAGCTGATGAATTCCGAGAAAAAACCAGCATCCTGCATTCCATTACTAGTCAAGTCCCATATGTTCCATCTCATTGTTTTCACTCTTTAGTACATCTGTGACGAGTTTGGAAAGCCAATAAATTTCTTTGTTCTAGATTCCAGCGCGAAATTCAAACTGGAAGTTTAGTCCCAACGTGATTTGTATTTTTCAAACTTTTGCTGTGTTATTGCGCAACAACAGTACCAATTCTGATCTAAAGAATCTATTCTGAGCTATACGTTCGGTAGATTACTTCTTTTGGAGTTTCACCCAATTTAATAGTTAACTGTTTTCGTCTCAGCTTACTATTTGGGGTTTTTTCAGCTTTTGACGTAAAGGCCGGTTCAGTTTATCACATCCGTTCTTATCCATTTTTGCCCGTTTTTAGTGTGCTTTTCAGTGCATCTTTTTAACGGTCTTGGGCTTATGCTAGCATCTATAATACAGTTTACGTCAATATAGTCATGAAAAATTCATACAAACGACTTGGATAACGTTTTGCTGTTACATCTGGCAAGCAGTGCGATAACTGCAAAGGTTGGTTCCATGAAACGTGCATAGATCTCACAGCAACTGCTTATAACGGACTCAGCAAGTCGGATCATAAGTGGGTATGTGTTACGTGCAACACGGATGCTGTAGTTTCGCTAAGTAACATCATTGTCCTATTGACAGGTCTGCAGAATAAGTTGTCAGTAAACTTGGAAAAAGACGGTCATAAGGTGAATAGACAAACAAGGACGCGCAATGAAAAGAAGAATAGCGACGTCGACAGGTCTACTATTGATGGAGCACGCATCACCACCAGTGATGACATGATGAAACTCAGCACCATCATTACGTTGATGGTAGCAGACTACTTCAGCAACCTCGGGTCTCCCAGCTCACAGCCCTTGAATGCGACAGTGGTTCTCAAGAACTCTGTAGGTGATTGGACCCACGTTAACAGAGCTAAAAAGGACTAGGCGTCACAGCCTAAGCTGAACATCTGAAGTATTGTAAGGAAATCAGCTGGTGATTTGACCGCACAGTCTACTCCTAAGAATGTCTGGCCATCAAAGAGCCTAGGAATCAGAAAGGTGCTTCAAACTCCAAACAACAAGTTGCTGAACCTGAACGCACCGGAAAACCTAGGAAAACAATGACGGTTCGTGATGACTCTCTCATAATCGTGAACCTCAACGACAAAAATGACAGGATGCTCTAGGGAGGATTAAACAAGGAGCTTGAACTTTCCCGAATAGAGCCATTGACGGTCGCACGGCTCACTCAGGGAAAGTAAACTAAGCATCAAAATCACCCGAGGTTACTTCGTGTTACACTCACTAACGCTACCGACGTACAGGATGTCCTGCTAGCTAGTCATTTACTGAAATCTGATGGGAACGTAAGAATACTGCCCGACATACCGTATCCTGAGCGCAATCTCATCCGGAACATCCCTAAAGATTCTCGCGAGAAGTTTTCCCGCGGAAGAAATATAATTGTGCAAGATGTACCGGAAAACACGGACCCTAGTCAAGCAAACTCTGATATTAGGAAATGAAAATTCATCAAGGAGTCCTTGGAGCTTAAAAACATAATGAATCAGCATGTGACGAGACTAACCAAGAAGGAAGGTGATTCTATACCCCGGCTAATGAGGATAACTTTCCCATCCCCCCATATGGTGGCTGCCACTCTGGGAGTATTTCGTGCCAACAGACCTTGGTTGCCTAATGGAATCCATATGCACCCGGATAGGAGACATGACGCCAGGATCAAGCACAGAGGCAAGTTGGAGCTGACCATTCCACTTGCGGACTGTATGGTCATTAAGAAGATGTGTAAAGGACAGGGCTTGCCAACTCGGCAAACCTTATATAGGTAGGCTACCTGTCCATTCAAGTAAGGCCCATACAGACAAACAGAAAAAAGCCCATGAGTTTCAAATTAAAAGCATAAACTGCTTATACATGAACGCCGCGAGTTTTTCAAGTAAAATGGATGAGCTACGTGAAGTTAGCAATTCTAATAAGGCTCATCTGATAGGAATAACTGAAACTTGGATATCTTCTCAGCCCTCGGACCAGGAGTTAGCAATACCTAGGATGTCTTAGTTTTGCAACGACAAAAAAGCAGTGATTGAGGGTGGATCGACGTTTTAAGGTCAGGGTTAACTTCACTTTATCTCAGGATATGGAATGTCCTAGTGGGGTCCCCCAGGGCTCAGTACTGGGACCACTTCTCTTCTTGATTTATATGAATGATCTTACACAACAGGTATCGTCAGACTTATTGCTTTTTGCTGATGACGTGAAACTTTAGAGAGAGATACGCAACCAAGAGGATATACAAGCACTTCAGGAGGATCGGACTCGACTTCAAAGTTGGGCAGACGATAACGGACTTACCTTTAACACTCCAAAGTGCAAAGTAGTTCATCTGTGAGATGTTGCAGACTACAGTTACAACTTAAGAAACTCATCTATAGTAGTATCCCGAGTCGAAAAAGATTTAGGAGTCCTGGTACCCTACAAATTGAAGTCTTACGCTAACTGTGACGGAAATGCCTTTCGAGCAAACCTTGTACTGATGACATTAAAGCGCATTCTTGACCAGTTCGACGGAAGAACTTTCCACATAATCTTCAACAGTTTTACTCGTTTCTAATTAGAGTACGGAAACATAATATTTCCCCCCTCACTCCAAAAGGATAAAAACACTCTGGAGCGTATCCAACGGCGAGCCATGAAATCTGTTCGGGGACTCAAATTCGAACCTTATGAAGAGCGTCTCTAACCACTTAACCTTTACCCATTAGAGTATGGACGTCTTAAAGGTGACCTTCTAATGGCTTACAGTATCCTTAACACTTCTGGACATCCCCTTCAACACCTACTTAAGTTTACCTTCAACACAAACCTAAGGGGTAACACCCAGAAATTGTATATACAACATAGCAGAACGGACTGTAGACACAACTTCTACTCTTTAGGAGTTGTCAAATGCCGGAATTCGCTGTCGACTGAACTAGTCCAAGAGACTTCCCAGGAGTCCTTTAAGAGGAAACTTGACCCATTCTTAAGGACTAAGGACAACATCTTATTATGATTTACCAATTTCTTTCTTCTCCTCTCTCATCGTTAATATACCTAGGTTCCTGCCTGGAGGCTTCGGTGATCCATTGCTACTAGACAGGAAAGCCCGTTAAACGAAAGCTTTTTCTATTGCGTCCACAACCATTTGAACCATTTGAGCTTATAATTCCTTCCGTACAGTTCCAGGCAATCGGCAATATACAACAAGAGTAATCGACTGCACACATTCTAGTCAGCCCACTGTTTTTTGTGGGTTTACGTTTATCGTAATCTGGACACCTGAGAGAGGGTCATTCTCACCTCGCCTGGAAGAGGAGTTCATATAGAGCCGACTCTCAATGGGAAAAAGTGAAAGAGACATTAGATTTCTGTCCTTTGGTGAGTAAACTTTCAGAAATTCCCCCTCAGAGCTATGTGATGAGGCTTTAGTAGGAAGATTTTTCAGGAGACTGCGTATGCGTTTCAGGGGAATGGAGATGATTTTGATTTTAGAATTCGAAAGCCTAACTTTAGTCCGTCATCGAACAACGAGGATCCCTGTCCTATTCGGATTGCCACCTCTAGTGACACGTGAAGGGGGTGTCCAGAAACCACGACCTCAATGACACTGCGTAGAAGGTCGCATGACCTTTACTAGTTAAATAAATGACTCAGCACTCGAATACAAATTCTGTGGAAGATGAGTCAACTGTCACTGAGATACCATAGTATTCAGGCTGTACTACTGCTTCATGATAAGCCATCCATACCCATTACTCCGGCACGTGTGTTTCGAGTACTGAGTAGAACTCCCCACTCAAACCAACGAAAGTTCAAACTAAGGCTTCGTATACAACAGTTGAGTCACGTATGCTTACTCCTGTTAGTGCAATATACAAAGGGACCTTCAGAAGTAGTACCACGGGAGTCACTATAGAAGAACAACACAAATCCAAGTGGATCGCGACGAGGAAATCCTGGCGAATCCATCGAAGAGGTCACTGAATGCCACATGTCTCCAATAAGGAATAGGAACAATGAGCATCGGTACACCAAAGTTTGATAAAAATAAGAAGATGAACCTCATGGATCATTACTAAATTCTTTTCAGTGCCCCAGTTTAAAGGGCTATGTATTGGAACGGATCGGAATGAATACTGAACCTTGCTCGTTATTAGTGTTATCCCAGAAAAACTCCATATCAAGGTCAAATACTACAAATGATAAACTCTTCATCAAGAGTTACGCTGACGTCGGCGGTTAGGCGATCGTCAAGTATAAGATTTCAAATTAACAACCTTGTTCGGTACGAAAAGCGCTGAGGTAACAAGTCAAAGGTGTTGAAGAACGAATCAGAGTGGGTTCTAGAAAGACAAAATTCTTCACTTAGGACTGTACTTACTAGGTTGCAGGGGATTAAGAGGCTCTCTGATGATTGTGCACAACATAATAATTACTCCGTCTCGATTCAATAAAAGCACAGTCTTATAACGGGTCAGGCCGACCTATAATGTTATCGCAGCCAACCTTGTCCAATGAACCGCCCAGTACGGTCGGTAACTCATAGATTCCTGGAAACGGAATGGAATGAAAGTCAACTTTCATTAATTAACATACGAAAGTATAACTCCATTCCTTTTATTATTACAATCTAGGGTGACTAGGATTAGTTGGTGCTGGAAATGCCGTCTTATAGGGCATCTCTTATTTCTCATGTTTGGACGAAGATCACAATCACGCCGACACCAACATTCGAAGTCACATCCC